ACGTCATAAATGGATTATGTTTATGCTATTTATTCTAAACGTTAATATAAACATACAAAATTTTATTACACCCATAATATCGTACTAAATACTAATCTACGAGAAATAATTAAATTATTCGACTTGAGTCAGTGTCAGTAATTTTTGTACTAATATTTACCGTTCCACAAGTTGGGGTTTACATAGGTTCAAGAAATTATTTCTAAATTGATGTTCTATACAATTGAACAGAGTTTTAAAATGTATACGTGAGGCGCCCAATCACTGAATTACGTAAACTTTAAACTTATCAGTTTAATGAAAACGTAAAAGTACTTACAGATGTTTTGTGTTGCAAGTATTAATTATATAACTTTAAGGTTCGGATCTTAGTAAATAACGGATTAAAACACATTTTTGGATGACAGCCAAAGAGTCAGAAACATACTTCTATGTTTATGTTGTTACTATGTTACTTTTATATTGTTCTTTTCATTTATTTTAATAACGTTTTATTGGAATTGTAAGTTTTCAAACACATTGTAGCCAGTCTAATGATTACTAGATACAAAGGTATACATTAAAAGATATACGTCAAATTTAATGAAATACAGTCATAGACTTGACTAACCCAAACAATTAACTCCACCCACAAGTATTCAAGTTAATTAATTATCGCACTTTATAATTGACTCAAGGTGGAAACATCAAACGACAACTATCGTTGAATATTTCGATGTAACTATAAGTAGACGAATTCGATGAAAAAACTTAGTAAAGTTTTGTCCAAGAAGTATTAAAGACTCTTTTGTCAGACATGACTGGCGACCGGAAACTGTTGACAAGATCACTTTCGTCACGGAACAAAGCGTGAACTAATGTAATTCCCATACAAATTTGTTTAGTGGGCCACGCCTGCCGTAAAGTGATTTTGTCTCAAGTCCAAGGAATGCTACATCGAATCTTGAATACACAATATAAATACAAATCAATTGTTGATTATAATCTGTAATAAAAACCTTAATATAATTTATCAATTTGATGAACCTTGAAAAAAAACCTATTCAATAAATTTTCAATAATACTAGACATTTAAAACTTGATGAGTCCATAATATAAACCTTGGATATTACACATTTTGCATTCCAATTATAAGGACGAATGACGTCACATCCGCCCGCAGACACCTCGTATTCAATATACTCATACTATACAGTTCATAAACGCTAGAAAATTTTAGTCAGAGTATTCCACAGTTTACAGTTAAGTAATTGACAAACGGAATTATCTTTTTTTTCTGACAATTTACTGATTTATTTCGCATGAAATAACAACTATACAATTCCTAAGCCTGTAGTAGACATTAAATATAATTACAAAAAACACATCAGAACCTAATCGTCTTCTACCCAAACGCGACACGCAGAATTCGAAATTCGCGACACATTCTTATAAAATTTTACAAATATCAACTGTTACGTATAGCAGGACGCAAATAACAAATGTGTCACCTTAAATAACTTGTTCTTTGTATTGTTCGTTAGGTATTGTTTCTCCATCCAGAGGTATATCGGAAGAATTAATAAGGCCGTTCATGAACTCACATCAACGTTTGTTGCCTACATTTTATTTTATATTATGGCAATAGAGCCTACAATGTTTGTACGGCTTTCTACGTTCTGTGTACGGGCCTTTCCACCACTATCCAAATATTTATTTCCAAAATAAGTTTTACTGCGCTATTTAAGTAGTTTAGGAACATATAACGCACTGAATATCACAAATTATTAAACTTTATTAAAAGTCGCTAACATCTATAGAAACACACACAACAAAACACATTGCAATAAATAAACTAACTACTGACTATATTATTGTAATATTTAATTTAAACATAAATCAATAAAGTTCTAAATATTATGTGACCTCAATAAATAGATTAATTAAGAAATGTATGTATCACACAAATAATACACCTAACGTAAAGCTAACATTAATCTAGTTTTCAAGATCTGTCAAATTTGACAGTTCTTAAATCCCAGATATGCGCCTAGAAGACTAAACCTAAACAAAAGTTATTATATGCTACATGTATCATATTAAATTAGCCTAAGAAAACCAGGCTAGACTAATATGTACAGAATTGTGTAAGCCTTATGCCCAAATACTCAAAAGCCACCCAAATATAAAAGGTACGTACATATAAAGCTGACCTTGGGCCTTAGTATAAATAGGCTGCAACATTAACTGAAAGTTTTTACAAATTTAGTTTTTGACGTTCTACATACACTACTTTTTTATAATCTTTTTTTTCCCCCCCCTTAGCAGTATAAATAGGCTGCAACATTATAGCAGCTGCTAAATTTGATAAGCTTTCGTGTTCGGACGTCATACAAATAAAAATTCGTTAGAATCTACCCTACGTCATAAAGGTCTATCATTGCTAGTAATACTATGTTAATGATGAGATTACAAGCTTTGGGCAAGTCCAGTGCGGTCAGGGACCCATTAAAGGGTCAGCTCAACTACAGTCATTTTTTGCTGAAGCTTCGTCGGACTTCGTTGGCTCTAAGTCCGGCTTCGAAGGACCAGCTTGAACAGGATCTGAAGATAAAATCATACAGGTTAATATATGTATTTACTTATGTCAACTTAACAACTGAAAGTTCATCTAATTTAACCATGAGTTTACATTGATTTGCTCTAGAAACAGGTAGTCCAAAAACCAAAAGCGTGGTAGAACATAAAAGTCTAAAATAAAAACTTGTTCCAGGATTTTATAAACGTCTTTATAATATACTAGCTGACCCGGCAGACGTCGTTTTTCCATGTATATTATTTCTAGGAAACGTTTTTTTAGTTCAATAAAAAAATATATTTTATTTTATATGTATTTTTGTATGCTGTATCATAAAAAAAAATTTTTTTGAATAAAATATATTTTTTTTTAAAATTGGACACCCAATATCACTTATGGGTTTGAAAGATAGATAGTAGCCGATTCTCAGGCTTACTGAATATGTATAAAATATTTCATAACAATCGGTCGAACCGTGTCCGAGGAGTATGGGAACGAACATTGTGACACGAGAATTTTATATATTAGATATTGAAGAGCTAATCGAAGTCTATAAATAAGAACTTTTCTTTATACAAAATACATTCTAAACTGGGTCGAACAGATTTCTCGTTTTCTATAAATAATTTCTTTAAGAATATCTAGTCGGACAATCCACGTGACAAAACATCTGCTTATTTTCTAGAGAATCACAGAAATTAGTAATTATTTATTGCGAATGCGTCACACCGGTCGCTTTTCGTTTAGTCCGTTATTTTATTAAATTTATTTAATACGAAGATCGAATCTCAGTAAAAGAAAACTCAGAGATATGCAATATTACTGATGTCACAATCTGTTCTTAAATTAGACAAAAATCTTCCTATATTCTTCCTAGTGGCGCTACAAGTCTTTAGGTATAGGTATCAGAACTGTATATGTTTTATTTATCATACATTTTTCTTAATAGACAAGTAGGAGACACGCCGTCAATCATTGTGGTCTAAAGCATGCCGATTCTTCACAATATTTTCCTTCATCGTACGAGCGAGTTTTATATGAGCACACAGACAAAAAGTTTATTGGTACACAACTAGGGATCAAGCCTAACCAACCACTAGACCAACACTGCTCTTCAATCGACTCAAATTAACCTTAAAAATTAAGACAAAGAAGAAAAACACAAGACATTAATTTTAGTAGTAAAGTTGAATATAGTTCACTTATTAGTTTATATACATAGTGTGAGGTATTTTCCAATGATAGACGTAACGACGACCGATAACGGTCACATGACACTAATCAATATACTATAGAGCTATTAATAAGCTTATCCTATTAGTGATTGCATTCGCACGTCAAACAGATAATAGGTGACAACGTGAGAAATATTCGTTAACGATTTAAGTACTTCCGTAGCTTAGTTGATCACGCACTTGTTTTATGCCTAATGCTACACTCTACAGCAGCTAACGTTTTGGAAATCAACCTTATTAGACATTATTCTATTGGCTGATACAGAAAATGAGCTGCACCATAGGCAAAAGCTTAAAGACTAGATAAAATAAATAAATAAATCAGTGGCGCTACAACCTCTTTAGGTCTAACCTCAGATTTCTGAATCTGTTTCATGATATTTTTTCAATATAATAGGCAAGTAGGTGATTACCCTCCAGTGCCTGGCACACACCGTCGACTTTTTGGGTCTAAGGCGAGCCGGTTTCCTCACGATGTTTTCCTTCACCGTTCGAGCGCATGTTATGCGCACATAGAAAGAAAGTCCACTGGTGCACAGACAGGAATCGAACTTACGACCTCAGGGATGAGAGTCGCAGGCTGAAGGCACTAGGCCAACACTGCTCTTAAAGACTAGATACGAACTCCAAAAGGCAAACAGAACGGAAAACGCATCGACAACAGAAGAAACTTTTATGTGAACTGTTCATTAGCCCGAAAAACATGGTGTAATTCGGGCAGGTGAGCTTGTTGGCAATGATGAAAGAAATGAGAATGTATTAGATAATCCTCCTATTTGTTCCGGTGACATTTCATACGTGATACGACATATCTGTAATCGGTCGTTCCATTCAATAGGATTAGGATTATGTGTCGTCATATAGATTATTTGCGGTAACATTATCAGGTTCATTGTACGGTATTATCTTTTTGTACCCCGGGTGTAGTAACAAACAACAACAAGTGGTAACAAACAATGCATTACGAACATATTTATAATATGCATGCAAAACTCCTGTATCGAATACTTTAACGTAATAAAACAAATTAATTTTTTAATGAAAAACATGAAGTATTTGCATTTTTTATAATAATCTATTTATTATTTTATAACAAAACATAGTTACAGTAGGACTAGTCTAAAGCTCTTCCTTAGCACGTATTGGTTTCACCGCTTGCCCTGGGGAACAACGTCGTGAAGCACTAATACGACTGTTTTAATGTTTTCTCATAGTTGGCTTCCTTGGGTGATTTTTTTCAGAATTTTTGCAATACACCTAATATAATATATAAAATTCTCGTGTCACAATGTTCGTTCCCATACTCCTCCCTAGCGGCTCGACCTATTCTTATGATTTTTTTACGCATATTCAGTAAGTCTGATAATCGGCTACTATCTATCTTTCAAACCCCCAAGTGATAAGTGGCCACCCCAAAAACTTTTTATTTTTTAGAAAAAAAAATTGTTTTTATTTTTTTATGATCCAGCATACAATTCCTAATTTTCAACCCTCTACGATCAAGCTCTCTTTTTCATTATTGTAGATAGTCATTTTTATTGATGTTAGTAACACTCGTTTACCTAATTTTATTTTCCTGAAATAGATCGCAACAACCATAAAGATAGTTTTAGTTTAGATTGTTATTCTACCAAATAATCAAAACAGTTAAGGCCACAGTTTAAAAACAAATAAAGAGCAGTAATGATATTTATTCACCAACTGTCTGTTTCACCAACGTCACAATATTTCCGCGAAAAGACTGGTAATATTTATTACATTCTAGACATTCTCCAAATGTGTCGATGTAACGTGCCGTTACTGTGTCGTGTGTAATTATGTTTAAACAGTGAAACAATCGTAAAACGCTTTTGCTCTTCAGTCTCATTAGACTAATTACTGTAATGTATATTTAGTTATTATTTACACTAAATAAGTACATAACAATAATGTTTAAATCGTCAAATAGGAAAAAAATGCTTTTATTTCATATATGTATATTTTTGTAAACATTATATACTTAGTATCGTAGTAATAATAGCATTACCTTATTAGATTTTTCTTGAAAAAATAGATTTTGCTTTTACGACTGCGTTCCCCGGGGCAAGTGACATAGTTCTTTGATTTCGCAAGTATTGGACTTCGCAGTCTTTCTAATTTATTTTACCAGACTGATTTGACTTGATAACGATGAGGCCGCCCGATATATTAAGATTTTTATTCAATATTATGCAACGAATAAATAAATTAAGTCGAATACTAAGTCCAAAAAAACTTATGTGCTATGAAAAAATAGTATGACTTTCCGTCGACTACGTTCATTATGTATATCCTACGAATCTACTCTAGAAAATGTTTACGACGCACTAAATGGCTATTAGTGATATCTTTACATGTCGTTAGTTGATAATACATCGATTTAGTAAAATTAAACTAGGCTACAGCCTGCGTCATTTATCGATCTACGTTCGTCGGTGTTTTTAATAATATCAAGGTGGCAAAAATTGTAACATCTTCTAGGGCTGTATGTACCAGAAAGCGGTATTGGTTTAATAGGGCTGATAACTACTGAAAAACAATCATGTTCATACCATATCGTGCCACCCACTAAAATCCATCAAAACCGTTCTGAATATTTTATTGCAGAATTATAATATCCGAATGAAACGTAAAAATATATATTTTCCTTTTATCATTCACTTGCTTTGTCAATAGAGTCTGCGCAATTTCCAATGGGCGTGGGACGATATAAATCTATCAATGAGTAAATTGTAAGTATTTTTCCATATTTATCACAGTAAAGTCATTATTAAAGTTCAATATAAAAACGCAGGCTCCGACAATCAGTCATCTAATATGAGTAATAGTAGGAGAGGTGGCACCAATTTTTGGGCAGGTATTTGAGGCAAGCTGAAAACTTGTCACATACCTCTCCTATTATATTCCAACACGGAATTGCAGACCTGGCTGGTGAGCAGCGGGGCTAAATCAACCCCTACATTTTTAAAAATATTAATTTTTTTTCCCCAAAAATATATTTGAGGCAATACGCAATTTATATATGTTGCAGTTTAATACTTAATAAATACGAAAAAAAAATAAGCCAGACAATTTAATCGGGGCTTTAACATTACCAAACGCGTGCAAATATTTTTTCAAAAAATTATAAAAAATGTTTTTGAGGAAGCTTGAAATTTTAATGGAGTGTTATTTATAACTATAAAATAAAATTCCCAAAAAGACAGATCATTTTGGTAGGGCTTTCTACCTGCCAGGCGATCAAACAAATAATGGATGGGTACGGGCCTGTACTACTATAGACAAGCTGTAGTGTGAGAGAGAGCGCATATCGACAGCTGTCTTCGTTCTAGCTTGCCGCGTTACTATTGGCTCTAGTGAGGCCACGTGACTTACAATAACCCATGAGGTTTTTAGTTAGAATTTCGGAGTCGTTACTTTCAGTCGTATTATTCTACTAATGGTATTATTACACGTTTTAAAACTCAAATAATTAGAAAATGTCTAGTGAAAAGTTAGTTTGTGTTATTTGTAAAAAAATGATGCTAAAGTGATTGCTTTTGTGGAGAAAACTCTCAAAAAAAGTCAGGAGGTGTTAAATATCCGTAAACATCATAGGTTAAAATATAATCATACTACAGGTGAGAATAAATGGTTTATTTTTAATAACTGCTGCATTCAAATTTCTGTGATTAATTAAAAAAATAAATATCTATTTCTTTTCGCAGATGATGAAGAGGTTGCCGAATCTGATACAGATGAATCCGAAGATTCAAGTAGTTCTGATGAAGATTCTGATCCACAGACGAACAATGATAATTTATATCTGACGTGAAACGAATTTAATTTATTTCTAATTTTTTTATACTTAAATAATTGAAACACTGAAGAAATATTATATTTTTATAAATATAGTTTTGCTATTTTATATTTTAATCATTGGTTTTTTTTATACGTAACCCTTATTAATTTTAAGATGAAAAAGGTTTTAAATTTCCGTATAAATTTTGACTTGCAATAATGTCAGAGAAACAATTTTTAGTTTTGAATGTAGGGGCAACAGTATGAATTCTGTACTAATTTTTTTTTTTAATTCTCTTCAAAAAATAAATATTTTTACGGAAATATCAAATATTTAACAATTCATTACGTTTAAATTCGCATTAAAATTGGCAAAATGGCTAATTTTTTAAGATAAAAAAGAAATCACAAAAATATCTCGCTTTAACGTCCATAAATCAATACAATCACTTTTATGCAAAATGTATTTAGTACAAATTCAGAAAATTTTATATTGTTTTACTCCGAAATTCTAACTAGAAACCTCATGGGTTATTGTAAGTCACGTGGCCTCGCTAGAGCCAATAGTAACGCGGCAAGCAAGAACGAAGACAGCTGTCGATATGCGCTCTCTCTCACACTACAGCTTGTCTATAGTAGTACAGGCCCGTACCCATCCATTATTTGTTTTATCGCCTGGCAGGTAGAAAGCCCTACCGAAATGATCTGTCTTTTTGGGAATTTTATTTTATAGTTATAAATAACACTCCATTAAAATTTCAAGCTGCCTCAAAAACATTTTTTATAATTTTTAGAAAAAATATTTGCACGCGTCTGGTAATGTTAAAGCCCCGATTAAATTGTCTGGCTTATTTTTTTTCGTATTTATTAAGTATTAAACTGCAACATATATAAATTGCGTATTGCCTCAAATATATTTTTGGAAAAAAAAATTAATATTTTCAAAAATGTAGGGGTTGATTTAGCCCCGCTACTCACCAGCCAGGTCTGCAATTCCGTGTTGGAATATAATAGGAGAGGTATGTGACAAGTTTTCAGCTTGCCTCAAATACCTGCCCAAAAATTGGTGCCAGCTCTCGGACCATAAGATTAAACAATCATGTAATTCAACGAACCCTAATTATACGCAACACAAACAATGAATAATTATATTGTTATGGGCTATTAAATACAATGAAAGATTATTGGTAGTATAAGGTAGATGTATGAGTTTACATAAAAACTCTTTGGGAAAATATTAAAAACCACATCGTATTTTAAGAATTAAATATACTTAAATTGATTAGGATTGCAATAATCTCAAAATGAATGTAATGAAATGACATACAACGTTGACACAAGTGCTATGATAAAAGTAGAATGTGACGAAGTGTTCAAACTGGGAGTACATGACTTTATTATATAATCAAAAATAGGGCTCAAATTATAGAGAATGATCAAAACAAATTACGCATTATATAAGGTTGCGGAAGGGTCGCAATTTCTTTATAAATACTTGTTTTTGTATTATTTAATAAACTAACACTAAGGGGTTTAACCTTGGCGCCTGAAGCGCCACACCACAGTGCGCACCCGTTTAATTAGAAACTAACTTATTAATTAATTAATTCATAACAAAAAACGGATTTAACATATAAAAATGTTTTAATACCATATATTTAAGACTATAACATCTAATTAGTCTTTATGGAGCCAAGCAATCACACCCTAGGTTGTCCATAAAAACAACCTCGGACAAAGACATCTTAATATTCTTGTTCTGCGTATTCATTGCGGGAATTATCCAATTAAAAACAAATCTTTTAACCTGCCAGATTACATCACATGCAAAATACTCATTGAATATGTGGCGTGCGTCACCGGCGTTACGGTTTTGAATTTCTAACATTATAATATCCAAGTACTTCTATTCAGACATCTGTTCAAGGCCACATTGGCTGAACGTGTCTGCTGTCTGAATTGTAACGCTAAATCGTTTAGGAGATACTATAAAAACAAAGATTTACCTTTCGCTATTTTACTTAATGGGTTTTGTGCGGATATTTGATTAACAAGTAGATAGATATACAAACTTTTGTTTTGTGCAAAACAAATGAAATATGGACAATATAAATTACTGTTTCTGATAAAAATCCACAAGTCGGTATTACTTTGTATCGAAACAACATTAGTCCTATACTAAACCTATATTCTGTAGAGATAGATATACAGTCGAAATCTGTTATAACGACATCGAAGTGACTACTCATATTTGGTCGTACAAACCCTTAGTCGTAACAGCCGATGACGCTGTTATTAAATACCTGATACATTAAAATTCAGCCGGGACCTTTGATTTTGGTCAATATAACCGGTTTGTTGTTCTAAACGTCGACAAAGTAACGTAAAGTCGTCGTAAACGGTTTTGACTGTATATAGAGTAGGTTTATAGCCCTTAAACAAAACAATTTGATCTTAGTTCTATGCGTTTATTGCATCTGAACTTTTGACCTAATCTACATATAAACGTTCTTGAAATCTTTAATATGGCATTCGGTGTCGCTGGTCACAAGACATTGTCATCATAAAAAATACTTTGTCAGCGCGTCACGTTCATGAAAATAATTTGCCTTGAAATATGCTAGTGCGATTTTACTTACAAGGTTGTAGACAATTAGCAGTTGAAGGACGTAATTTAGTATATATCTTAGTATTATATTTACGAGTATCACGAAAAAATTACTTTAATAGTCGATAAAATGCTTAGAACAATTGTACATATATACAAAAGCTATAATTGTATATGTTAAAATTTATATTTATACAGATATAAATTGTAGTCCTAATATATTTTACTTTAAACGCTGTCATGCCATAAAAACTCAAAAAAGACGCATTATAATAACGAAATCCATGTTTATAAACTAAATTATCAATTCGGCAATACATATGTAACTATGAACATGATGGATGAAAACGTTCTGAACGAATAAAGTTTTTTCAACAAGTTTGAAAATTGGTACAAGGGTTCATTATAACAGGGTAATCCTTACAGAGTCGACATCCTAAAGTAAATACAAAGTCACTCACCAGTTATAGTAACGAGATTCTGCAGCCTGGAAGGCAGGTCGGCGGTGGTAACTTCCGCGCCCTGTGGGTGTAAGATATCTGGCATCGCGTTGCGCCGCCCCGTGCGACCTGTCTCGAGGAACTCACGCGGTACCTCCTCGCTATTTCTGTCTTGCATTATTGCCATCATTCTCAATACTGGAATAGTTATATTGATGATTTAATTTTCACGATCGTTTCTCATACTTATAGCGGCATGAGAAATAACAGTCAATTACGAGTTTTTACAATGAGATATTTATACAGCGAACTGTCATTACAAGCTCATATATCAATCAAATAAGTATTGCTTTGAATACAATCTTATTTATTGCATAATTGTATTTTGTAGAACCCTGAAAATTATTACTTTTTATGATTCTTTGGCAAACTTTTCATGGTGACTACATTGCTATTTCTCTCATATTAAAAAAAATATAAAATAAAATATCGTGAGGAAACTGTCTTTCAATGAGTTTATTATTATTATAGTAATAAATATAAATAGTACTCAGATAATTAAGTAAAAATTTACATTTGTTTTGACATTAGTTTCAACATTCGTTTTAGTATAAAATCAAGATGTTGTATTTCTAAAAACTACATGTACTTATTATTTCAAGTACTATTAAGTATTAACATTCACGCGACAAACACATATTACTTATAATACGATACATTTTAAAAATGATTTAACAATGACGGTTACAAGTTCAGTGTCCCAGTGGTAGATGATTCGTTGTTTTTATTTTATTAGAAAAATTGAAATCATTTACGTATATTTTTTGTTGGCAATATGGAGTTTACCCATAACCATACCTGGCGAATAACAAACTACAAAGGACTTATAAGGTACATATTTCAATTCCGATAAAAACAAAGAATAATTAATTTTCTTACCAGTCTTAAATGGTGATATCTAATGCTCTTTTTACTTGATGTAAGACGAAAGTATATTTCCAAAAGCTAGGTTTTCTCTAATGAGGTAAGCTTTGTTTTATATACACTTACTTTCGCACACTAAAACCGTTATATTATATACAGTTAGTTTTGAAACCAATTACCTACTAACTTACAATTGAGAAACTTTTGTAGTTGTTTTGCACGATTGTTAATGCGACATGAGAAAATAATGTTATGACGTAAAAAGTCTTGATAGAGATCACGAATTTTTGCAATTTTTAAAGATTTTCGATCTAACAAAACCAATTTACTGTTTATTTTGTTATTATTTGGTATATTATTACTTCTTTTCTGGCGTACGTGGCGTCTCTGAAATTAAATCTTTGGCAGTATGGCCGGGACCTTGTAGATCGCTAGTGTCAATGCTTTTACATTCGAATTCTTTAACAAAAATATCAAAAATATAAATTATTACACATTTCGTATTCGAGATATTCGTATAGAGACCATCGCCAATTAAAAATTTACTATAATAAGTATGCATATTAATAAAGATGCTAGCTTACGTGTTTTTAATACAGTTTTGAAATTAGAATCATGCAATAATAAACAAGTTTGAACAAACTTTTGCAACAAGATTAACGTCACCACTCAGTCAGTTTAGTATTAAAAATCTACAATTCAATTACAGTCACTTAAAATAATGAGAATGTTAAAAGATTAACAGTATAAGAATAGCTGTAGAATGTACCAGCACAAATGTATTCTTATGGTAATTAAAATCTTCGCACGGCGGGAATGCTTCCTTTCACTATTTAAACAAAGACTCGGTAAAATTGACGGCTCGCCGCTGCATCCGTTATTCAGTATATCATTCATCTTGCGTTTGAATCTCCAGAGAAACTATAAATTATGTATGAGTATAATCATAACAAATTGGTTTTAAATGTCACAAATTTTCGCTAAAAAGAAACTACCAGTCCCCTCTAAATATACTATCAACGCAGTAGTTACTACAACTCCAGGTCGATGAGATAAGGGATTAAGGAGCTATACTAGATAGAAATTTATCTTTCATACTACATTATAATGCCATAGTCAATAAACTTCTAGAATCCTTGGTTTCATAAAACGGACGACTAAAGCTGGCCATAGACGGACCGCATGTTGCAGTCAAGACCGACTGCTGTAGAGAGGTCGCCGCACGGCGATCTGCAGTTACCATATAGTATAAGATCCCGATATACAACGACCTTCACCGAGATGCTTATTTAATGAAACGTATTTTATATTTAATTTAATATGTCAATAAATATAATCCATATGGGTTGCCTAACAAATTTCAGTCCAGAGTATGTTTAATTAATATTAAAAAAAAAAAAATTATAATTTGCATGTAGTAAATTTTTTAAATTTTTTTTCAATCAATATTTTTAATCAGGGTAGTATTATATATGTATCACTATAACTTTCTTTTTTACTAAAGATGTATATATACTTTAGTGTCACATAAAAAATATAGACATAAATAATTAATTGATTAAAAACAACTTCATACTTTCGATTGGTATAGAATTTATCTAATAATCATACCGGTGAAATGTTTAAAAAAATATTTTTTTTTAAATATTAATTAAAATACTCTGGACTGAAATTTGCTAGGCAACCCATATGGATTATATTTATTGACATATTAAATTAAATATAAAATATGTTTCATTAAATAAGCATCTCGGTGAAGGTCGTTGTATATAGGGATCTTAGACCAATACTAAATTCATATTCGCAATACACAGATCGCTCGAACTAGTCCATTGAAATGTTACATTTTTTAGGCCTAACCTTGCGTTTTTTAGAGGACGCAATTTTATTTTTTTGATGTGTAGGGGGGGTCAGTGTAAAGCTAAAACCAAGTTTGTGGGGTCGCCACCCTTGTCCCACGGCCGCCATCTTGAAAATAGTGGTTGAAACGGTTTTTATGATATATCTCTTAAACTATTTATTTGATAAAAAAAATTTGTTAACATTTTTTGTTGCAAATTAAATTCTCTACAACTTTGGTCCAGTAACTTTTTATCGTAAAACTATAAATAAAAAAGTTATAAGCGAAAATCTTCAGAAATTCGAGAAAAAAATTTATATTTTTCGATATAACTTTTTTTTTTATCATTTTACGAAAAAATAATATCAGACCTTTTTTGTAGATCGTTTTTTGGGGAACAACTTTTATTTAATAGCTAAGGTTTTACAGCGCTCCGATAGTCCATTGAAATGTTACAATTTGAGGGCCAAACTTAACATTTGTTAGAGGACGCAATGTTATTTATGGGTGTAGGGCCGTTCAATACAAGCTTAACCTCAAGGTTGTCTTCCCCAGCCGCCATCTTGGAAAAGGGGTCCAAAACCAAGTTTTTGGCTATATCTCCTAAACTATCCATCGTACATAAAACTTGTAATACACATTTTGTAGCAAATCGCTGTGTCTACAATTATGTCTCTTTATGTCGTCTCTTTAATTATGTCGAAGATTACCATATCAGCAAGTTGTCTGTGGAATAGGCCTACTAGGAATACCAATAAGTAAAATTGTAGGAATAAAAAAAAATAAAAAAATATTTAGAAATTTGTTTAAAATAAACGAGAGATCTTAAAAGTAAGGTAAAACTGTGTTTTGATCGGCTTGTCATGAGCATTGACGCACCTAGTCAACTTTAGAAATAGGAAATATTTTCCTTTTTTACTTTAACTTTTGAATTTTGGATTTATGATAAAAAGTTACATAGACATAATCGTAGACACAGCGATTTGCTACAAAATGTGTCTTTACAAATTTTATGTACGATTGATAGTTTAGGAGATATAGCCAAAAACGTGGTTTTTGGACCCCTTTATCCAAGATGGCGGCCGGGGTACAAGCACGCCAACCCCACAAACTTGGAGTTAAGCTTGTATTGACCCCCCCCTACATGTTCCATAAATAAAATTGCGTCCTCTAAAAAACGCAACCCCAAATGTAACTTTTCAATGGACTAAACAGTTCCTGAGCAAACCGCATGTTTGCAGTCGGTCTTGACTGCAACATGCGATCCGTCTATGGCCCGCTTAAGAGTTTCAAAAAATGTAAAGCCTAAAATCATATTATTAAATTCTTGGGTCCGTAGCATTTTGGAATATGGTAGAGCTGTCTGGAACCCTCAATATACTGTCAATATATGTTGACAGAATTGACCGCCATTTCTTCAAACAATTATGCCGTTTAACTAATAACATTAGCTATAAATGCGAGTATGAAAAAAGACTGGCTTTCTTTCATTTGCAATCACTCCGCCTGATCTACATAATCTTTGTTTACAAAATTTTAAATAACTTGGTAGATTTACCAAATGTTTTAAGTCAAGTGAATTTTCTTTTAAAGAGAAACACATCAGTCCTTTTTTACGTTCGGACAGTAAGGACCAACGTCGGTTGTAATGCTCCGACGTCCTCTAAACAGATCTTGATCTGACAGATCCATTTTATGTATAATTTCTTTTCTCTTTTATCAAAGTAAAGTTTACCCTTAAATGTTGTGCACACTTGACATTGATGCACATGCATGTACAGTGTTTTTGTATGTCGTGTATTCTCTGTATGTGTCCAACCAATAGTGTGTGCCTTTTTTAAATAAATAATTATTGTTGAGTAAAGAAATTAAATAAATAATTTAGAACCCGCGGGACCTTGACTAAACTTTTTACGATTGGCCAATGATGCAAATTGTATTATTTGTCGTAAATTTCGTTAAACATAGATACACATAGATTTTGGAATAAATGTTCACACATTATACAAATACCAATTTGTTGGTTTGCGCTTTGAGATTTTTTTTTGATAAGAGAGCTTAATGTGTTCGAGGTGATGTCAAAAACATCAACAATTTACAGTCGACTCTCGATAATTTGACACTCGTTAATTTGAACCTCTCGATAATTTGAAAAAAAATTCCGGTCCCTTGAAAAATACTCGATAAATTGAATAAAATCAATGATAATTGGTCCCTTCGGTAATTTGAAGTTGAAAAAGTATTATCTTGCTCGCCAACATGCGATAATTTGAAATCCGGTCTTCCCTACTCTCGATAGTTTGAAGCGTTTATCATGCACATACCTGTCGTTTGTTTACATACATGCACAGACTTGTCTTGATAAAAAATTGTGAATAATTGTTATAATATGTAATTGTTAATACATAATATGAATATAGAAATAATAAGTAACAAATTTTGATCAAATTCTTATTTCCTTCAGTCGCCCCTCCCCCTCGTGGTTATTCAAACACTTGTTATTTTGAACTCTTGATAATTTGATTTTTGATTTATCTCTGGTCCCTTGAGTTTCAAATTATCCAGAGTCGACTGTATATATAAAACTTCAGTCATGATAAAAGACTTTCCAAAAGCAGCATGCAAGAAGGATACAGTAGTAAATATATTCTTCATGAAAATTTTTAAAACCCATTCACATAAAATTTCAATAATGTAAGGCAGGCAAGGTGCCTGCCTTACATTATTGAAATTTTAGGAAAAACAAGGATACTTTAAGTGCAAACAGGTATAAGACCCAAATGATATCTAAGAAAAATGTGACCATAATTAAGAGCAGCAGTGTTTAAAAAAGTTTATTTATTATATTGAGGATTATACAAAAATATAAAATAATTAACCTTCAATAATATATATTGTTACTGTGTTGTGCAATGATTGGCGGATCACCTTGACCAACTCTTAAAATCAACATAGTTTTGTATGTAATTTATATTGACTAATTATATAAAGAAATTGGGGTTCCTTAATTGTTTTCCCACTACTGATTAAATATTAGAAAAAAATAGAAAGAAACTGACACAATCATGTTATTATACATTGTATAATCCTTAACTTAAAAATTAAGATAGAAAAAACTTTAAAATGTGGTTAAATTGGTGCATTCGAGTTATGGTCGCAATTCTTCTATATTTAAAAGTAGCAAATGATGTATACCATTTCATTCCAAAGAAGTCCGTCCTTCAACCATGGTCCTGATAGTCATTTGATCATCACGCAATACATCATGCACCTTAGCATTCTGGATAAATGCAATTAAATGTTAGTCCCAGATAGGTTAAGTGATGTTCAATACCATTAAACTATATAAAAATAATAAAGAAGAATTAAAGAAATCAAAGGATTAAGTAACTTGTTTACAAATATGTTTAAGTAAGACAGTTTTTACATAAAATAAAATCAGAATAATTATTATAGATGTGGAAACTTACAACTTCTTCCATACTTTTTAATGACGCATTGAAGTTTTATTGATTTTTTTTAATAATTTGGTCTAACTATCATGTGGCTACATTGGGATCAATATGTTTTGGACCGTAATGTAAAAGATAACTTTATATAATTAAGTTATAGATAATCACTATAGTATCAGTCAATCACCCTTCTAAAAAGGTTAGATAAACAATATATTCTCTTAAAGTAAACATTTTATTTTTCCTGTATTAATAGAGGTTTAAATAGCATAATGGTATTTTGTATTCACTTTTGGTATGTTATTCTTAAATACTTCCAAGCAAGATACACTTAGTACCGAAGTCATGGACAACGGTTTCTAAATCTTTGCATGCAGATGGGCTTACCTGACCGGGCTTTAGCACGGTCTCCTCTCTTACGCTTAGGCACACGACCAACGCGCACTCCAGACATTTTTACTATGATATGTATTAAATATATTACCGATAGTCAAAAGCACTTTTTCAACGTCTGCACAAGAACTTCACACAATGCCACCACTAGTTAGCAATCGGTTAAAAGTAGATACTGCAAGATTCATGAAATCTAAAAAGTAATTTAAAAATTTTCATAGGTAAAAACTATAAAAATTCGATATAGTATAGCTTAGAAACAAGACAGTGAACAAGGGAAATCGAAAACTCAAATTGAAAATTGATTAAGACGGAATATTGAAACTTCAAGACTGAAAACTGATTACTGAATTTAATAAATCAAGAATTTTTGAAATACTCTTTTGGGGCTTTCAAATGTCATTTTGTCATCATATGTCAATTCTATTAAACTATTAACATTAAATGTCAATCTTTATGTTTCGCATTGTAGTTATTTTATTTTAAATATAACTAATTAGGCCTACATAAACACCAAGCTACATTAATTAAATGTTTCAAAACTACTCAATAAATCACAACCAGTGGAAAGAAAAACACAACTTTTTAATGTTTTGAGAAAGAATGTCAATGTCATGTCAAAGCTTACCTGACATCTACAGTCTACAGGCGCAGCTGATGGACTTTGTTTATGTAATAGTAAATTATTAAATATTAATCATTGCCGCGGTAAATATACAAAAAATCTAATACTTATTGCTATTTTATAGTATAGTAATAAAAAATATATTTTTAGATGCTTCGTAAAGTGGTCGTTGGTTCGGGACTAGTTGTCTTGATACCTTCTGTGAATGCTGCATCTCCTATTCAGGAGGCTAAAGAGCCCCAACGGCCACCACCAATGAAACCATCAGAGCTGCCAATATATGATGCACCCCATGCCGAATATGGAGAGTAAGAAAAGCGAACCTTAATCATTAATTTAACTCATTTTTTTTATATTTGGGGTTGTGTTTTCAAATAAACTTATTGAATTTATTATAATTGAATTATATGTTTCAGCCTTGTAGAAAGCAAATCCAAGGACAATAAAAGAAGTTATTTGAGATCTATCTTACAGCCTCCTGTAACTGCAATTAGGGAGACCTTTGAGACTGGTGTAGCTCACACTTCATCTCTTAAACATAGAATTGAGGACAGTTATCATGAAACCATGGATAAAACAGATTGTATGTATTATGTTAAGAACTATTTAAAAAAAAATTAAAGATTTTATCAACAAGTCAATATAGTATGATGAGTTTAGTGAGTTATTTCATATTACTTTGTTGTGTTATAGATTTGGACTAGGGAAGTAAAGTGAAGATTACATGTTGTAATTATTTTATAAAAATAATTTAAAGCTAAAAGATTGACCTTTTAAGGGATAGTGCAGTATCTGCGAGAAGAGGAAAACAAACAGGCCAGATATGGGGCTGTTGCTATGGGAGGACTTACTGGATTCATATTTGGCCTGAGGGGTGGCTTTATTAAAGTAAGTATATACTTGGTGCACATGTCGCAGCCAAATTGCTTAATTAGCCGTGTAATTAACAGCCTAGCCTTTTAACTAAACGGCTCCGATTAACTAGCGGCCTGAAAGATCTTCAGCCAGTTGATCAAACAGCTAGGCAAATGACGTGGATCGATAATGTTTAATTATTGCCTAGCCTGTTGACACTCTTCAAACTGTCAATATGGCGTCAGCATACCACAACTTTGTTGTTTTACAAAGTTAAATGAAAAACAAGTGCAATGGAAGAGTGTAGTGACAATAATAATGTGAATTTGACTCAAGCAATTTAACTTTAAAAGAAATATTTTTTCATGTTTCATCTTTTTATTTCTGCCAAATAATGACTCTATCGTACAAATGGCCTAAGCATTGGCCAGCCAGTTTATTAAATGTTGTAACAAACGCTACGGCTGAATATCCTTCAGGCCGCTAGTTAAATGGCGACGTTTAGTTAAAAGGCTTGGCTGTTAATTGAACGGCTTATTAGGCTAGTTGGCTGCGACATATATACAACTAAAATACATTTTTGCTATCTGCTAGTATAAATAGTTGTTTAGTTATTTACAGCAACAACCCTTGGAATAATAAATTCTGTCACTTTGCTTTTCACAAAGTATCATGTTAATCTAATAAAATTATTTTGACTTACAGAGAGTATTCTATGCCACTCTTGGCACAACAGCCATGGGTTATGTTTGCTTCCCTGAAGAAACAAAGCAAATAATGAACGAAAATGGAACTCTAGCAAAACAGTATATTAATATTGCCTACAACTTCTTATATGGAGGTAACTAATAGCAAAACTTTTAGATACTGAGAGAATAGAACTGAAAAGTTGTCATATACATATTTATTTATTTGTAAACAATAATTTTACAATTAAATTATTACTAATATAATGTAATTTGTAAAAAGGTTAATTTTTAAATCAAGTACAGTAGAATTTTATGTAGCTGTAGTAGTTATGCTTAAGTAGAACTTATTAATAACATATTTTTATTTTTAATACTGTTAAAAGGTTATATATATTTTAGTGTAACTTAACTATATATATATTATGTAGTTTTAATTAGACTTAAACCATCATCAGTTAAACCAGGAGATCCACAATTGGAGGTGAAGTTACCTGAACTGTCCTTCCCCAAGGACTTTTCAGAGTTGGTTGATGTGGCTGTTTCTCTTGCATCTACTGTAAAGCAGGCTGTTATGCCACCACCAGCTAAAGATTCAGAGATGATTTTTTCAGAGAAAAAGGAATAGGTAACAGTTGTTGTAGCAATAACACGCTGTTTGCTTTGATTCTGGAATGTGCTGCTTAATTGCTCTTATCTGTTGATTCTCACTTTGAAAAATAAAAGTTGATGTTTGGTTTTAAATTTTAAGGTTTTAAACAGCCCAATTAGATTTTTTAAGTTCTTTATAACCCAAAACAGAGGATCAAAGTGGATTGTTTAAGTCAAATTTTTTTAAATCCAAACTCCAACATTTTCATAAAATGTGTACTGAGCATGACATGCTTGCTATGTGTTTTGATAAATGCTAATTTATCTTTACTGGTATCTTGATAAAAATATAGTTTTCATATTTCAGATTATTACCTTGATGGTGACATACATCCTGATATTGAATATTGTCAGCATGGGGCAAATACCTAATGTCTTACATTGATTCCATTGCAGTAATAATAACTGCAATTTAGGTTCTGTTATCAATATTTATTAAATGTATAAAGTGTAAAAACAAGAATGATGAAATAAATGTTTATTATTCAAGAATTATGAAATACTTATTAATACACTAAGCAAAAATCATTTCTTCTCTACGTTTCTTTGTTACCACTGTACCAGGTTTATGTTGTGCCTCAGGATGGTTCATTAGTTCTGGTGGACATGTAGATACAGAACTTGCAAGCAGTACTTGTTTGAGGTCATAGTAAATTGCAGACTCTTCCTTTGTCACAAATGACACGGCCTTTCCCGTTTTACCAGCACGTCCTGTACGACCAATACGATGAGTGTAATCTTCAATTGACTTGGCCATGTCATAATTAATTACCACACTGACATCTTTAATATCAATACCACGACCAGCAACATCTGTTGCAACTAATATATCCTTTGACCCATTCTTAAGGCTTGCCAAAGCAAAGTCACGTTGCTCTTGTCCCTTTCCTCCATGTAATGTACAAGCATTGAAACCAAGTTTCTCCAATCCTTTTGCGAGAACATCTGCACCCTTTTTTTGATTGACAAAAATGATAATAGGTGGTTCCACCCCACGTTGTAGAATTTCAGTAAGTTTTCTCCGTTTTTCATTTTCACCTATCATGAAAACAACCTGTTCTGTCCTGTCTACTGGCTTACCGACAGATCCTATGTAAACTATGGCTGGTCTACGTAAATAAGTACGGGCCAATCTTTCAACAGCTGGTGGCATAGTCGCTGTAAACATCACAGTTTGTCTATACTTTTTTTTTGTATTATAATTTGCAAGTAAAACTGAGGCATCTTCAGCAGCATCAGAGTCTGGTTTTATATTAGATACAGGCATGTATTCTAAGATTTTTTGTACATCAGGTTCAAAACCCATATCAATCATACGATCAGCTTCATCAAGGACTACATAGGTACATCGATTGAGAACCAAGTATCGATTCTCCAGCACATCAATAAGACGTCCAGGGGTAGCAATAACAATTTCACATCCTAATCTTAATTTAAATCCTTGATCTTCTCTTGATAGACCACCAACAACTACCACAGAGGTAATTCCTAGTGGAATCCCAAATTTATTTGTCTCTTCCTCAATTTGTTGAGCTAACTCTCTTGTTGGTGCCAAAATTATAGCATAAGGACCTTGATCAGCATCCTCCATTCTTTCACTCTTAGGAAGAGATTGTATCCATGTTAGCAAAGGTATAAGAAAAGCAAGTGTTTTACCAGAACCTGTCTCAGCTACACCGATTATGTCTCTATTTTGTAATCCAATTGGAATAGCTTGTCTCTGAATCGGTGTTGGACTCTTGTACCCAACTTTATTAATAATTTCCATGACATCTTCATGGAAGCCAGCTTCCTTCCAAGATCGAATGGGATTAGGTATTTTACCACCTTTAATAGTAATATTATAATCCTCTCTGAATATTCTCCAGTCTCTTTCAGTCATTTCATCATGATCTTTTTCAGACCAGTGTCTGTCATCCCATTTTTGCTTATCTTCCTTCTTTTTCACTTTCCTTAGTCTCAATTTTTCTTGTTCCTTTTCAAGTTCGGTACGCCTTTTTTCTAAAAGGTTACCATAAAATTTACAGTAATCCTTTTTCTGTGATTTAATATCAATGCCAGCAATATGCCCTCTACCGAAGAATTGTACTTGATGCCTTTCTTTATATAGTGTATTATAATCATTTGAAGTGTCTTCTGATGCATCCCAATCAAACACAAATTTTCGGTCATTAAGTCGCCTTACTCTACGTTTTTTCTTAACAATGCCTAGATATCTAGCCTTTATTGCCTCCTCCTCTTTTTCTTTATCTTTACCACTAAGTTCCTCTTCCTTTTCTTTCTTATCATCCTTACGATCAGAATTTGATTTTCTGTCTTCGTACTTCCTTTCCCTATCACGTTCTCTTTCTCTATCACGCTCTCTTTCTCTATCACGTTCCCTTTCTCTATCGCGTTCACGTTCTTTATCACGTTCACGTTCTTTATCGCGTTCTCTGTCTTCTCTTTTAGAACTACCTGTAAGATCTATTGTTGCTATAGTTGGTCTAGCTACATTGGATCTCATTGCTTCTACCTGTTCACGTCGCCTTTCCAAGGCCAATGCGGCCCTTTGTTCTTTTGTTAAGAAAACAGGTTTACTACGAGCTTCTTCTTCGGCCTTCTTTTTTGCTAAAAGTTCTTCCAATGACAGAGGTTCTTTTTTTACATGCTTTGGTTCTTCATCTTTTTTCTCAAGCGATTCTTCCTCTTTTTCTGATTTGTGTTCACTATCAGTTTTGGACCGGCTTTTTTCTTTATTCTCGTAACGTCTATCTCTTTCTTTTCCATCACGTTTTTTAGGACTTCTTGATCTAGCGCTATCTTTCCTGTTAGGACTTTTGGACCGATCTTTGTCTTTACGTGGACTTCTTGATCTATCTTTCCTCCCCGGACTACGGGATCTATCACGTTCTTTTCTAGGACTCCTGGATCGCTCTCTTCGTTTTTTGTCTCGAAGGGGTTCCCTTTCATCATGACGATCGCGATCACGTCGCTCTCTAGATCGTGAACGACGTCGTTCAGTACTGCGGTCGCGGGCCATCAAGTTAGTTTATTTCAAAGATGTACGACTTCTTTAGAAGCTTTGTTTTTGGTAACACAATTTAAGATTGAGACATGAAATATGAATTTGACATTACAGCAGGAAAAAAAATGTCACTTCACTTTATTTATAATGGCGACATCTAAAAAAATGTCAAAACTACAAAAATAGCAGTTGTCACAGTGCACGCCACAGATACCTACTATAGGTACACAGTACACACAGAAGCTCTAGATTATAGGTTTTTTATTTTATTATTTGTTCTCCGGTTAGACCTTTAAACCATACTGCCTTGTCTTTTTTTCCCTAGAAAATTCCACCCGCCATTTTTTCCAAATGTTGGTGGTTGTGTAGACTTTATAATACTGTGTCACACTCACGTAAACTGATGACAAAAATTTCGCCGTAGAGTCTACTTAGCGCTAAGGGTAAGATTCAGAAACAAGACTCAGTGCTAAGCTCGTCTTTCGTAGATTAAAGAATTATTAGTATTATATAGTAGGATTTTGATATATTTGGGAGTCATTAAACTTCACTCTTAGTCTTAAGATTAAAGTGATCCGTGAACGCATTGTTGTCTATAAGTCTGTGAAACTATATTTTGTATTAAGTTTATAATCTGTAGGGACTAGGGATAAATAGTATTTTACAACAACAAGAAAATGGAAATAGCACATTACTAATAACTGTTTTCCGGCGGTTATATTTATTTTCTTTTTCACATGACAATAAAAATCTGATAGATCATAGAGATACAAAAATACTCTCATTATTTAAAACATAATGTTTGAATTAAAATGGGTCGCTATAACCTCTTCAGCCCTTGCTATTTCAATAGCTGGTGTTATCTATTATGTTTTTAAAAGAAAACGACCACGTTATGCTGTAGAAGCTTTTAATTATTTAACTGTAAGAGTTGTTCATAATGTAGAGGATTGCGAAGAAATGATAACTGAAATTCGAAGGTAAGACGTTTACCTATGTCATTAAACTTGACATAGGTAATGTAAGGTAAGGTTAGCAGGCACTCAAAAAGTTACTACTTTATTCATATACTGTCCCAGCTGTCTTCTATGAATCTTCATGGGAATTGTTTTAAGTGAAATATTCTACCTTACCAATTAGTTTTTATTTTAGAAGGTGCCTTACCCACCAAGCTGTAGGTTTTGATTGTGAATGGGTGACTGAACAAGGGAAGAGAAAGCCTATAGCCTTGGTTCAAATCTCTACATTTGATGGATATTGTTGTCTATTTCGTTTAAGTAAAATTATGTGTGTACCAACATCTTTAAAGGCAAGTGTTAACATACAATCTGTTGTAAATATTTATTTTCTTCTGTTTAAACATGTTCCTTTATAATATTGGCATAAGTGAACAATGAGTTACTAATAAAGGCTATACCTATATCTTTTGTTATCAATAAATATCTATTATTTTTCAGGTTTTACTTGAAGATGAAAAAATATACAAAGTTGGAGTGGCTCCAGTAGATGATGCTAAATATGTAGCTGCAGATTATGGTGTTTTTATTAAATCAACATTAGATATACGACACATTGTTCAGTTATATGGATATGATCCTGGAGGATTAGCTGCATTATCATTGTCTCTTCTTGGTGTTACACTAGACAAGACATGGAGAGTAAGAAATTTAAATTAAAAATATTATAATTACACTTATTATTTTATTTTAGTTATTGTGGGTATAATTTTAAAAGGTTTGTCTTAAGAAGTAATAATTTATTTTGATATCATTGTTCTTTATTAGTTAAGTAGCTTTAACCTTAGTGTTTTATCCCTTTGATAAAAACATTAAGACTAAGCTAAGCATAGGAAAGATATTTTTTATCAGATATAAGTAATATTTTATCTTAAAAAGTTTAAGTTATGTTTAAAGAATTTTATTCTCATTAAAAACAAAAATATACTTGTCACTTAAGGAGCGTTCAAGTACATATTACGTAACGAATTTTGGGGGGGAGGGGCGGTCCTTTTGTACAACGTTATGATGCGGGGCGGAGATTGAATTAAGCCGTTATTTTAAATATTATTTTCGACTTTTTAGTACTTTTACACTTTAATGGTAACTTTTAGGTATAAAGAGCCACTAGGTGGTCACGAAACGTTTTACTATACTAGGGTACAGAAAATCGTTACGGCGCGTTAAATGGGGGGGGGGTCAATAATCTCCAAAAATAGCGAGACGTAATACTTGAACGCTCCCTTACATGAATTTTTTTTTATAATATATCACACCACCTTCGTAAGCAGTTATTGCATCCATGAGTCCATTTACCAAAAAACTTTACAGGCGTATTCGTAACTGGTCCACTGTTACTATTACCCGTATCTCAGGAGGCAAGCTGTTGTAAGGATTAGCCCCAAAATAGGTTTTATTTTAGAAAACGTATTTGTTTCTGTATTCAGGTGTATTATTAGTGTTATGCCAGCTATGTGTGGGATTGAACTCAAAAGTTTGAGTTTAGTAAGTTTATTAATTACCAATCACCAATCTAATCTAAAATATATATTTTTTTGTTTACAAAGGAAAAACCAAAAATGGTTATGCCCAACACACCTTACATAGATTTTGTTTCTAATACTTAAGATTAGTAACCAATTAATAGATTCGTTGCAGTGACTGGGGTGCAGATGAATTAACAGAACGACAAGTGAGTTATGCTGCGGCTGATGCACATGTTGCTATAAAAATATTTGTTCAACTCATGAACAAGAGGATTAAATGGAATTGGCTGTCACTAAATTCATGGAATTGTATTAATAAAGATGAGTTATGCAAGAAATATGCTGATGTATGTTTTAAAACTAAAGCTGTGAAGAAAGTAAAGAATGGGTAAAAAAAATTTATTACACAATACTATCCTTTGTTTATGTGAGTACTGCTTTTAAATAAAACTTAACAGGTTAGAATGGAAATTTATAAGTTATCAAATAAAACATATTCATATAGAACATAAGAATAGAGTGTCTTCCCCGTAAGAGACTGTAAGTAGTGTTATTGGATACTTCCTTCTTAATTTTGACGACTCACTGGTCTAGTGGTTAGTACCCCTGACTGCGAATCCATGGGTCCCGGGTTCGATCCCCGGCTGAGACGAACATAGATGTGATGAGCATTTGGTGTTGTGCTTAGGTCTTGGGTGTTTAAATATGTATTTATATGTCTATATCTATAATATGTATGTATATCCGTTGCCTAGTACCCATAACACAAGCTTCACCAGCTTAGCATGGGACTAGGTCAATTGGTGTTAATTGTCTTTATAAAAAAAAAAAAAAAAATACTAAATTATCCAAGTCAAGAAACAATTAATTAAAGAAATATATTTATCAAAAGACATTCATTATATCTAATTCAAGTTTGAATTTGTTATAAATTTTATGTAATATAAATTTGGTTTTGTAATATGTGTATACATATATTTATAGTGTTAGATCAGGATGTGAATAAATATTTTGAATTATATTTTGTTTTAGTGTTCAAAACAAAGAAAACAAATTAAACAAAGACATAGTCCTCAGCAAGAGGTACCCATATGCAACCAGATCTAAGCCACTCTACCACAATTGTTTCCTGCAAGCACCTGATGGTGAATTACTATGTACATGTGATACAAAAAAGGCTATATGGTGAGTTATCTTTTTTTCTTCTTTCAGAACTTAAATACATTTAGAGTTAAGTTTTAGCATTAAGAATAACTCCCATATTTAATTGAATTTTGACATACATGAGTAGTCATAGTTTGTGTTAATTCTGGATCGATTCTTAGAGATATCCTAGATATCTTCATTGCTTTAATATATTATTAAAAATCATATGTTGATCTTGTTATGTCACACAGTTTTTTAATTCTTTGAGAAGTTCTGCCTTTTAACAGTAAAAAAGAACATACAAATATTCAAAATTTCTACAGGTATGTGGAAAAACATTTAGCAGATGTAGTAACAGAAGATCCTCTGACTGTTAGATTACGATTCGAGCCAGCTGGACGATCAGTTGGCGATGTGGGAAAATATTATCAGTTGACTAAGCAAAACCATTGTGTAGTGTGCGGTGAGCATAATTCCTACATACGGAAGAATGTGGTACCGAGGGAGTATAGGAAGTATTTTCCAGGTAAGAGAATGTCTGTAACTTAGAAAAATAGTTTCGTAGTTTCTGAAAATTTTAGTTTTATTTCTAAACAAATTCTAGCAACATGCTACAGCATCAAAACTCATAATCAATAATAACAATTGCAATTGATGTAATAATTTATATTGAGCCTATTTTTATATTCTTTTAGGTCTAGGCCTTTTAAAATATTACCCTGAATTTATATTTAATAATTATTTCTCAAATTGATTCATACATATATCTAAGACAAAGCCAGTGCTCTTTAAACATTTAATGTCTTCATTCAGAGGTAATGAAGGACCATTCATCTCACGATGTTCTCCTCTTATGCGTGTCATGTCACCAACGGAGTAACATGCTGGACCAGGCTGTTCGAGAACACCTGGCACGTCTATGCGATGCGCCCTTTGCTGATCACGAAAAGGCCAAATATGTAGAAGATGCTGACTGCAAGTGAATATCTTTTTACTACAGTATTAAAATTTATTATTTAAGGCCCATTAAAAGGCAAACGCACTCGCAAAAATATTCAGTATATTCCAAGATTATTTTATTTATGTAATCATAAATTTAAAAATAATACGTAAATAGTGATGCTTGGAACTTTATGTTGTTGGTTACAATTTTTCTGTCAACCGTCGACAAATTTAATTTAATGTAATTAAATTAATTTAGTATAAATTATAAATCTACATTCTATCTTGGTATATCCAGAGGTATGAAAAGCACAGAAAGCCGATAGATAACTTAGTTACAAATAAAACAAGTGCAACGGGTGTTCATAGCCAATAAGTGATTTTTTCCACGTAAATGTTAAAAAATAAGAAAGTGTAGGTACACGTGATATGTTAAATTATGACTAATTTTAAATTAAATTATTAACTACTTGAAAAAACATTAGGACAGACTGACATCGTGTAGTAACTGTAGTGCTAAATTACCTTTTTAATATTGACAAACCTGGTACGTCGATCTAGTTCGGCACTAATTATCTAGCTACTAAATGTAGGTGTTTAATTTTTGTAAACAAGTATACTGAATAAGTATAATATATATTCGGTTATCTCTCCGTCAACTATATCATAGTTACCATTATTACAGAAAAATTCGATCAGCTGCCCGTGCATTATTATATCAATCGAAGAAGCATAATCTTCCGGAGTCGCGGCGTAAAGAGCTAGAAGATATATTGCTTCAGCATTATCCTCAGTACGATGAGATCACTGAACAACTACTTGCCGAAGCCGCCGAAATATCTGTCGTGTAAGACATTAATCTTATATATAAAATTCTCGTGTCACAATGTTAGTTACCAATTACCATACTCCTCCGAAACGGCTTGACCGATTTTTATCAAATTTTATATGCATATTCACTATTCAGTAGGTCTGAGAATCGGCTACTATCTATTTTTCATACCCCTAAGGGCTCCCACACAAACATTCCACCACAAATATCAATTCCACAACCAACCAAGAATTTCCATCTCTTCCATCCTTTATTTTAGTCATCCTTACACCATTTTAGTCCGCTCTAGACAAACAATTAAAATGTCAATAAATAAATTTTGTTTTACTTTACCTGATAGTCAGTCCCAGCATTTCCAAGGCAAATTCTTCCCTTGTTCGATCGTTTTTGAAGGCATGGTGATAATATACTCAAAAGCTCTTCAAATGAAAATATGCTCATTCAAAAATAATAAAGAAATTTATCTTCAGTTCTCAACGCATAGTACTTTTGAATAAAATAGTTCCCATCAGAGTTCATAATCGTAATGAATGGGTGAACCCAGAATCTTCTTTTTCTTTTATATCTATTGAACAATAACAGCAGTGCAATAATCTTTTTGCGATCCATCTTACGCTTCTTAAAAACACGTTCAGTACGGCTGGCTTCGAAGGAATGGTCGCCTACCAAACGGTTACTAAAATCGCATCAAATTCGCATCGAACTGCGATCTTCGACGCAGTTTTGTGTGGGAGTCCTAAGTGATAAGGGGTGTCCACCCCAAAATATTATTTTTTATTTTTTGGACAATTTTTTTTGTTTTTATTTTTTTACGATACACCAAACAAAAATACATACAACCCCTAATTTCACTTCTCTACGATCAACCCCTATTTTTTATTATTGTAGATAGTTATTTTTATTGAACTAAAAAAAATTCATAGAAATAATATACATGGCAAAACAAACGTTTGCTGGGTCAGCTAGTTTTTATATAGATTTATCTTAAAAACTACCGGCCTATAAATACCATTATTCTAGAAGTTGAAACTTGTTGTTTTCATATATCACTAAAAGTTATATTGGACAAGATTTGTATGATAATATATAAAATATAGTTTTATTTGATTAGTTATTTTGTAATCTTTTTTTTTTTTTTTTTTTATTTTTTCGTTGTTTATAATTTACGTGTAAAAAAATTTTTTTCTAAAAAAAAATAATTAAGCAAGCACAGGTATTAAATGGCCTCCTGGCTGGATATTTATTTTTGAAAATATTTTGTAAATAAATGTAGCCTACTCATAGTGTAGCATTGTAATGGTAAAAATTTATATATCTATATAAATTTATATGTGATCGTAGAGGGATTGTCCGATTCTCAGTTATACCCAATATGCACACAAAATTTCATGAGAATCGGTCAAGCCGTTTCGGAGGATTTTAACCACAAACACCGCGACACGAGAATTTTATATATTAGATAAAGTAATATTAGTATACATAAAGAAACCTTCATTAAATTATTAACTAGCATATAAAGCAACTACTATTTTTACAAATATATTTTGTACAGCATTGAAAACGCAGAATACGAATGCCATGGATTTAAAGTGACAGAATACTTTTTACAACGCGAAGGCTTGCTTCGCCTGGAAGAGATTTGGCGAGAACACTTTCTACAGACTATGAAGCCTCGTTTTATGCCTGAACTGTGGTCGGTCAAACATAATGAAGAGAGGTATTTTCATAGAAATAATTTTATCAACATATGTATATATAATATTTCAGCTAGATCGAAAGCAATGCAACAGCCTCCAAGTGTTTATGCTATACAAGTTGTTGAATAAGTCCAATTTTTTTTCTCTAATACTGGAAGTCATCTTAATATATATAAATTACGCGTCAGGTTGTTTGTCCGCTATGGACTCCTAAACTACTTAACCGATTTCAATCAAATTAGCACACCGTGTGCAGTTTGATCTAACTTAAAAGATAGGATAGCTTATATCTTAATTTATACCCGCAATATTATTATGTAATATAACAAAAAACTTAGCCACTGCAACGCTTGGCCGAGTCTGCTAGTTATCTATATATAATGTTACCATATAATATTAATGATAATAAATGGTTCTTTACTCTACTTAATATTACGTATTTCTTACAGGTTGCGAGTGCGTTTATCTGAAGGTCGCTTAACCGAAGATGAAATTAAATTAATAGGAACAAATACCTTAAAGTTCGATTGATGTGCATTTATTTTTATAATTGTTGGTTTTAGTCTGTAAATAAAATAATATGAGCGCTGGTACTCTATAATTTCCAAAATGATAGCGATCCCGACTTTAATGTTTAGTATCACGTTTGCGTCAACTAAATCGAAATTTGCTATCGACGTTAGAAAACGTCATAATTGAATTGTAAATAAATTTGACAGCCAGTATTGGTTTTATTCATGGAACTATTGATTTTATCATCCCATCTTGGATTTGTTATAATCTTATAATCAAGATAATGTAATCATTTCTTAACCTTATCCTATCCTGATCAATCGTGACTTGTATAAATCTTATGTTTCCTTTTACATCACAATTCGCTGTTCATGTATTTGTATGATTAGCTTTTAAGTTTTTAGTCTGTTATTAATATTTTTTTTATATTACTTTAGATTAGGGTACTATATATATTTATATATTTTTTATATAACATTTGGTTCTGCACTTCTCGCACGCATCATGTTTCTTTTTTTTTAGTTTTTCTCTTTAACTAGGGTTGCCTGGAAGAGATCGCTTATTAGCGATAAGGCCGCCCGTCGCATCCCTTATAATTTGTATGTATTGTGTTTCTTTTTTTTTAGAAACGAAGTGTAAATAAATAAAATAAAAATAATAAAATAATGTATGATAATCATTGTAATTGGCCCTTGTCTTTAATTACGTAACTTTGAAAATGTAGACGTACTACATTTCATGACTTGATTTAGTTAACTTGCCGCCGTTTTTTGGTTCCAATTATTGTTATCACCCAACCAGTTTTATGTTACTACTATTATGTTAACGAGTGGTTTTGCAATTGGGTATCGCCAGCGCTGTTACCTTAACAATTAATATTATAAATAATTTAATAAAATATTTTTATATTTGTTTCAATGTTCTTTGAGTTTCTTGCCAGTTCTTCTCGCCCGCTCTACGCCCTTGACTTGCGAACTATTAGTAAATGTAAATTTATCATTAATTTAACATATTTTCCGTTGACTTTCATAAGTGTACTTGGTTACCTATACGAATAAAGTTATTTTGAGCTTGAGTCTATAGATACTATTCGTGTTTTACTTTCGTATTTTTATGACTCATTAGGGATATGAATCGATGGTACATAAACGCTTCAGTAATAAGTCTAACAAAAGGGCTATTCATGTAGATAACTCGTAGTTTATATGTCTGTAACATAAATATTAGACATATGTTGGAGCTTTGGCATTACTATCATCGGCCATCTGACAATCACATAAGTTAGCGAGCTCATAAAATAACGTCAAAGTCGAATCAGATTAAAACCGTTTATTTATACATATTATACTAGTGGTTTATTTAATTTGCCAATGTCGCTAAAAATCTGTAAATTAGCCACTATTTAATAGACGACAGTAATAGTGAATCCTGTCATTATTGAAAGTAATTTATTGTCACAACCTTTAAACCTTAGAAACTTAAAGACAACCAATGTTAAAGGAATCGTTTGATTCTCGTTCCTATGACTGCTGTTTGACTCTGTATTCGATTCGAGTTCGGTTGTGGAATGAGTATATAGGTATGTTAACTAAAGCTGGCGGCTTCAACACATTTACACTTTGTGCTTGTGTAGTGTCTGTGAATAAGCGCGAGACGTAATGTCAAACTGAAATACAATCATAAAAACATCATGAATAGACTGTCCGTCGTGTATGAGTGGACTAAAATGTATAGCATGGCAAAAAAATCATATTTTGAAACATACTGTATGTGAAATTGCATTAGTGTGAGTACTGTGAACCCGCCAGCTTTCGATAACCGACCTATACGAAATGTTAAAAAAGTTGTTTATCACAGGTGGCTATAAATAAATTTATCAAAGGTGAGCTGTCGAGGTCCTTCAGGCCACCAGCGAGAATCTGATTAAAAAAAATACGCCCTTAGATAACCACACCAACTATATGCCCGTCTCAGACGCAAAGAAGCGGATAAGCAAAGCTACGAATACACGGCCCTTAGTACGATAATCGATTGAGCGGTCGAATTAAGCTGAAGTCTTTACAAAGTAGACTCTTATGCCGAAATTAAGCGGCCAAAATTTATCCGCAGATCCTGCTTTTGTTATAAGTCATGCTTTCTAGTCATTGTTCAGGTTCTAGTTTGCTGTTTTGTCAACAATCAGTATTCAGTTCCAGTCTCAGCCATCCTGTCGTTAGACGACAATAATGTTCATATCCTTAATTGTCAGTTACTGCCCTTTTCACCTTACTTTCTCCACGTTTAATACTTAACCTTTTGTTATGTTTACCTGCCTCTCTCTATTTCCTTTACCTTCTCCGTCATATAATATATTAGTCTGGGTATGTGTTAACGTAAAATTGTAAATACCGTTAGATTGTAATCTATCTCGCGAGATTATAAACTATCGAAAGATTGTGAACTCAACGTACTGCTTACAATTTAACGTACTATTATTCGGTAGACTATAATCTATCGAAGTGAAATCGTCAAATTGTGAAACGGTACGCACCTCGCGCGCTGATTGGTCGGCTTTATAGTAGACCGTTATATGTCCATAGAGCTAGGAATGAAACAAGGGTATCGGTCAAATAAAATGAATGCACTTCAAAAATTAGTATTTATTACTTAGTAGGTAATCAATAATTCTGACATCACATGATGAAAAAAAAAAATATCAAAATAAAAAAATCATAAACGTAATAAAATTTTCTCTTCGAAAACAAATTAAAATTGAAAAATTAGTGAAATTTTCTTGTAGAAAAAAACGATCACAAAATAAAATCAAAATTAAAAAAAAAGCAAATCGAAAACATATGAACGTTTTTGAAAACAACAAAATTGTCTATTATATAAAAAATAAGAAGGTAAATTGCACCAATAATTGTTGCACGTCAACGAGATGTGGCACCTGGAGTTACAAGAACACTAGCTTTCTTGCAATTACACTTCTTCGAAACGCACTTATTTTAATGCAAATACATTTTTAACTATTTTCATTATGCCGCTGTAATAGTTTTGTAACTGTATGGTAAATTCTTCCTGATTAACAATACCTAATTTTTCTGAGTTTTGTGGATCGACAGGCTCAATATCCGACATTGTAAATACCAGATCACAAAGGTTCACGCGAATAAAAAATATTAAAACACGGAAAATATATGTAATTTAGACTATGTTTGGAGACCAACACTAACTTAATTATCATTCAAACTGCACTTCTTTGGTCAATCACAGATTACTTTTACTTCCACAACAATTTCATATAACTTTTCACGTTCACTTTCAACATCCTAAAGCTGTGAGTTACTTTCAACACGACATAAATTTACATTCACGAAAACACCGTTTGTTTACATTCGACAACAAACAAATATGGTGGCGCGTGGCATATTCCGTTCAACCAATCAGCGCGCGAAGGTGCGTACCGTTTCACAATTTGACGATTTCACTTCGATAGATTATAATCTACCGAATAATAATACGTTAAATTGTAAGCAGTACGTTGAGTTCACAATCTTTCGACAGTTTACAATCTCGCGAGATAGATTACAATCTAACGGTGTTTACAATTTTACGTTGACATATGTAACTCAGGTAGTTTCACGTGGTGGGGAAAATATTTCGCGTCTGCAATAGTCGAGAAAAAAAAACCAAATAAATATCTGCGTAGGTAATGAATCCGGCCAACTCATTTACCTGGAACTACAGTTTTACATACAATTAATTTTTTAAGTTAAAGACGTACAGGTTAATTAATGACTTCGTTGTTTACTTTTTATAGTTTCCACTGAAAAAAACAATAGTTGTCATAGACCAATATTTTTCTAGAAGCTTATTTAGGCTGTAGCAAAAGAATAATATAACTACATCTGTGATTATAGACAGTGCATCTTGACGGTTATCTATGGTCATAACTGAAAATATTTAAATAGTTTAGCATTGCAAAGAAAAAATATATAATATACAATTAATTACATCTAAAATAACTCTTAGCAATTACCAAAATTTTAAGTTAAATCTTTTGTCAAGTTAATCAAATAGTTATGGGCAAGCAACGTCAACTAAAAATTCCAAATCTTATTCGTAAACAAGGTAATTATTGAGATTTTATTGATTATTGTTGGATTTTAGTAATTTCTTTTATAAAATAACAAAATTTTCGAATAGGGGTGTCGGTTTCTGATGATTGTGTGGAGATCCAGCAGAGAATCAAAACGTTGAATGAAAAGCTATGCGGACTGCAGACTCAGTTGTTTCAAATTAAAAGAAACTCCTATAAGCGGACCATTTTTCCATCAAAAAGTATATCGGCTAATGAAGTATTTAGTAAACCGGAGGTACCTTCAGTAGGAACTAGTTACAATTTCATTTTTGATGAGTATATTGTTTTTACATAAATTTTCTTTTCCAGAACATAGTCTTGAGTAATTCAGTAGCAGTTATGAACCGCAAATTAGAACTTTTGACTGTATTAACTGGGCTCGAAGTTCAGTCGTATTCCAAAAATGACCACTGCTGCATTGTGTTTCACATGCAACATGACTCTAATAATGTAGTCAAGCATGGATTAAGAATAGAAATGAAATCAGGTAAAATATGTATTTATTAATAATTGCAGAGCAACATAATGAAAATTTTATATTACAAAAATTCAATATATATTATGTAGTTTCAATATCTATGGATGTAAATATAGCACTCCAGATAAAATTTTATATACTATGATATTAGAAGTCTGTAATAAATATTTTTGTAGAAAAAACCTAAATAGATATTTAACAATAGAAAAAAATTGTTAGATCTATATGTACTTTTGTTTGTCTAGGGGGCAATGAGGTCACCGAAAGCTCCTTGCCTGTAGGATTTAATTTAAATGAGATAATTGATGACTATGATAGTATTTTGAAACCTGAGTACCTCTTATCTGTACATAAAGCCCTCATAGCCTACTATGATAGATTGCAGCAGTATGAATCATTAGAGGTATGTTTACCTAAAATATATTTTATAATAATTTATATAATATTAACTGTATCATGGTGGTGATCATTAATTTTTTTTTAGAATAATTTATTTTTAAGTACTCGTATTGTAGCACTAATTTGCCTTTTTATCATATCCAAAATTGTTAATGTTTGAGGCTTTTTCACTTGACCTTCTATGACTTAGCTGATGACATTAAACCGATAGTAATAAAACCAAAGTTCCCGGGTCAATATCCTATCAAACTACTTTTTCTTAAGGTTGAAGAAAGTCAAAGAAGATTAAATGACATTATTGACCTTTTTAAAAATAATGATCAGTGAAAGTAAACTCACAAACATTATAAGATGGTTTAAAATTTAAGAATTGAATTTTTATATACCTTTAGATCATAACTATATTATTTTTCAGAGGCTTATCTCAATAAATGGGACATTATTCAAGGCACTGGATGGGTCACATATAGAAGTAACATTCTACATGCACGGTGATGATGACAATAGAGATATAAAAGTTGTTCTGATTCTTCATTATAGAGTTAATGATATACGCCCTAAGACTTATGTTATTAAAACAGGTAAGTAAGTCTACATTTAAGCACATTTGCTTGCCTTGTTTGATATTAATTAAACCAAAAGTTAACAAATTGTTTTTGATATTGCTTTATTGTGGTACTGTGTTGTTTGTTACAATTTGAATGTTTAAATTTCAAACATCCAGATCTTCCTGAAGAATTATTAGAGACTTTGCAACAACACTGTTTGTTGTTCAGAAAGAAGCCTCTTAAAAATGCCTTCAGACATATATTTATGGATGATGGACCATGGAAACTTGTGAACCAGGTTTGTATTCAGATTTAGTAATTGCACAATTTATTAATATTTGGCTTAATGAAGACTTTTTACACAGACATCCTTTTTCTTTGGCAACAAACATTTCATTTTTGATCATATTTTATTAACAAAATCCTATAGTACTATAGTTACAAAGGAATTTAAATTTATTCTTTTCAGATGGCAATACATAAGGAACATACTGCTACAAGACCAAAAAGATTTCGACCAAACAGGAATCCTAATAATGACGACACCTTTCGACCAGAAGAGTGCTCTGATCAAGGAGAAGATGAAGAATATGTGGAATAAATTCTAAATAGACTCATTGGAAATGACATTTCTGTCTGTTTCTGTTGTTTTGTCTAGATTTACAATAAAAAAGATATATGTATTGTTTAAATCTTTTATTTTTAGAAAATGAATTTATACAACTCCAATATATCTACGACAGTTTACAGTAACATATATTTTCATTATTAATCAATAAAAAATATAAAATCGAAATATTGACATTTTCTCCTACATGCAATAATTACAATCTAAAGTTTGTGCATAGTCAATATTCCCATAAATTATTCATAATAGTATTGAAAACCTAAAGTTAAAATTGCTTAAAGTCAGTTTCTTCTATCATGATCTTCATTTGTGACAAAAACCATAGAGAGCTTTTAACAGCTTCAAAATATTTTGCTATTGAGAGAAAAATATAAATTCTCTGCTCACAAGCTATATTGTGACTTAATTTCATGCATGGAATGTTATTAATTTTGTTAGACTAAAAATCAAATCATTGTATGTAAAAAAGACTTGAAAATGATACCATGTAAAAATAAAACAATACAATGGAAACATTAATAAGGAAAATACTTCGATTTATACTATTGTAATCAATATCATTAAAGTCAAGAACACATCAGTTAGCATTTAAATTTAGGTAAATACAATTAATTTCATTAAAAAAACATTACTTCATGTACCACAAATTTACCCTACCTTGATAAATTTGACTCAAACACCCCGGTTAGGCAAAGGTTTGACTTTGTATATACGAACTAGCCAATGTTCAGTGGTGTAGGCTTCTTCTAGCACTTCCAAATTGAAGTCTTTGTTGCCTATCTCTGCTCCGCGGACACGGTCAAAGCCAGGAGGTCGGCCTGTAAAAATAATTTATTTTAATTGTACAAACTCCCATGTAGGAAATATTATGGTGTACTATTTTCTTACAAAAGTGACTCTACTCCATAAATCTCATGTTACGATGGCACGGATAACCGACAGCTGTACGTACGTACAGATCCAACTTATAACTTATTAGCAAAATAAATCCTTGATGTATTTTTATTGGCCCTACCCGGGAGTCGAACCCGATATCTCCTGATCCGTAATTGCTGTACATACTACAACATACATACATACTTGGTCTAGTGACTAAGGGAGCGTTCAAGTATTACGTCACGCAATTTTTGCCACCCCCCCGCATGTAACGCGCCGTAACGTTTTTCTGAACCCAAGTATATTAAAACGTTTCGTGATCAACTAGTGACTATTTATACCTAAAAGTTACCATTATGTGGTGTAAAGTACTGGAAAGTCGAAAATAATATTAACAATAACGCGTAATTCAATCCCCGCCCCGCATCGTAACGTTTTACAAAAGGTAACCCCCCCTCCTAAAATTCGTTACGTAAACGTAACACACAAAGTCAAAAGCGTCTTAAACCGACGTTTATGTCAGGCATAAGAAACTAGACAACTATGCGGTCGTAATTAGTGATATCGTGTAGAACTTACCACCCTCAGTATAAACTAGTCCAAACTTGTAGTAACTCATTTTGTACATGAGGCAATTTAGTAACGTGTTAGATCCATCAGCATCAATCCGGAACTCCCCACTGGGCGTGTAGTAGTCGGCTTCGCGAATATGCGCACCGCGATCTGTACTGCCCCCGATACGAACCATCCAAAGGAATTTGTTGATATCTAGGAATTTGGTAGTCTAAGATTATTGGTCTCCAAAATAATTGAGAGAGACAGAACCGGCGTGGCAATTATGCGAACTAATATAATTCTTATTCTCTATGTATAATTTCATTTATTTACAAAAATTATAAACTTAAATTTTCATATTAAATATCAAGAATAAATGATAAACATGCTACCTAGGAACCAACATAACCTAGTGACAGAATAAAGCTGGTACGTCATGCTTTGGATCGTATACATTTTGAGATATCTTTAGAATTAACAAAATATACACCAATCTTTAAATAACTTACCATCAGACGAATATCCCACAAGCCCTCCAAATATAACAAGTACATAGTCGACATCTAATTCTCGCATTATTTCGTACGCCTTATCCTCTGTGGAAGCCATAGCTTGTCCGACTCGTGATATGTGCGTATTATTCCACGTATTATTATCCACTATCACCGTTCGATTAGCCATAGCCGTTATCTGGTACCCATAGTCCCACCAAGACATCACTTTGGCGTCCTACAAAAGGGTATAGTTTGAGAAGTATCTATGATAATTAGTCTAGTTAATTAGTTACAAGTTCGGATGAATAGGACTTAAGACACTAAGATTGGCAGACTTGAATGATTTGTAAATAGATTTAAGTTACAATACCTCTGGCGTGTTCATCTTCAGCCAAGTGTAAGCTTCCCTGAAGTCGTCAAAGATGATCCTGGCCCCGTCATGCGCACGCGCAGACAATACTATGGAGGGTGAAGAGTACGCCTCTGACGTTACCCAGGTGCAGTGGAACACGTATGACACTAACAAACATCCCAACACACATACGAACAATGCGCCAACCTAGTGACATTTAAAATGTATGTAAAGTTCAGCGCTCTCTTATGTATTTGAGATTGTATAAATAATAAAAATATAATAATATCTCACCTCTGATCTAAATACTAAATTATTTTCATGTTTCTTTTTCTTTTCTGGTTTGTCGACCTTTGGCTCAATGTCTTTCACATGAAGGCTTAACAAACTCGATGCCGCTATGCCAGAGACTATACACATCACTGGAGCTAACACTAGCATAAGACGAACCATAACGCCCTGAAAAATTTATGCAAGGTAAGACCAGAATAGATTGGTTGAATGCTTAGATTTTCTTAACTAGTTCAGCGATCAAAGTGTAAAAGTCATTATATGGAATCAGTGGAGTGTTCTCAACACTGACTCTACATACTCCAGCTTGATGTAATCATCATTTATGAAGATATAGTAAAAGTTACCCTTGTCATACTTTATTTTTAATACCTTGAACAGCAATATATCATGGCTGTACACAAAAAACTACTGGTTGCACTCCGGGAGTGCCGGCAGAAGTGAAAATTGAATATTAACGTTGTGCATTTTTGATATTTTGGAATGGTTAGGGAATCATTTTGCACGAATTGCTTTAATTATCAGTATAAAAATACTCTCATTTATGAGGTAGAATACAATATTTATTTATTGCGCTATCTTACACAAACATGACAATTTGTATTACAGTAAAAGCTCCCTATTCGCGCTTCCTTTATTCGCGTTTTCACTATTCATTAAAAAATCAACAATTTCTTTATTCAAAAATTTCTTTATTCCGGATCTAAAATTTATAAAAATTCAATAGGTTTAACAATATATATAAATAATATAGTTAATCCTGATATGAATTTATGAATGCTGGAAGAAATTTGAGTAGAAAAATATCTAAAATAAAAGAATCATTGGAGAACTGAACAACATTGAAGTCATCTAAAAAATATGGCCTGCTCTATCGGAAAATAAGAAAATCTTAGTTCAAACTTTGACTTTGGTTTAAGAATGGCAAATTGCTAATGCGACTGCTGATATCAGTCTGAATTGAAGGAGCTATTAAAAACTCCAAAAAGAAAATAAAAAATTTTCAAACCATTGCCTAAGCCTGAGGATAATATTATATAATCAAAATTTCAATAAATCAATAAAATTGATTTTCTTATATATTTGTGTTTTTTATTTTGGCACCTAGGAAGTATCCCCTATAAACCCATATAAATTACCATTCTGTATTCACGGTTTCTGTATTCGCGGCATATTTATGGAACGTATACCCCGCGAATAAAGAGATTTTACTGTACATTAAATACGCCGCGCCAGCTATCTACTCTCCATGCGTCTTTCGAATTTTCGATCACGTCACGTGTCCAAATGCGAGTTTAACATTTTTTTCCCATTCCAAAAAAAGTGTACAACGCCGCTAAAGAAGTTTTCACTCCAAAAATATCTATCTTATGAAATTATTCACAACTAAGTTTGGTTGAATTTTTTACTCATGGAATTAAAATGGGGCGAATAACGTTAACGGCACATAAGATTTTAACTACTCCGCTTTTTATCAGATTAATTTTTCTTATGAATATTAATACCTTTTTCCCATTAAATTATTTGTGTAAAAGAAAATACACTTGATAATGCCTTGGACATTTTATTTAATATGTATTTGTTAAATATTGACGTACATATATGTATATTTAAAGGCTTGAAACTTGCAAATTAATCATATATAGAAAATAGTATTATATAATAAAATTTAAGCAATAATATAAAGTTTTTTAAAATATATAGTTCTACTTACAGCAAAGTATATACTGAGCACTCCATATAAGATGATGAATATGTTAGCATCGGTGATGCGAGTAAAACAGAAATACAGACCAGCAGGGAACAGAAACACTAGCACTTGAAGGTCAAAGTAAAACGATGACCAAGATGTAGGCTGGTGCTCACTTACAGATGCTGAAAGGATAACAGTAGTGGATTAGAAAAGATATTATTATATATATTGTACTTATTTCCTTAAGGACCTGGAAGGTGGTCTTGATATTTAGGGTACAATAAAATAGAACAGACTTACCAATAATAGGAATATGATTCTTAGCATACGAGGGGTCGAGAAGGGAATAGAATCTACCAGTCCACGGTGAAATTTTTCCTGAAATATTGGATTCACATGTTATTTCTTTCTATTATAACTGCCAACATAGATTAATTCTGTGCAATATGTTTTAATAACTATACAAATAAAACTTTACCTGTCACTGTAAACAGCACTGTGGCTGTACCAAGTGTAGCCAGTAGTGTAGTAACTAATGCCTTGAATAATAACTCAAAATTTTGCGGAGATAAGCGCTCACGCAAGTACTGGGTGAAGGCATAAAGTTGACATAAGCCAAATACTCCAAGAGCCTGAATAATGAAACAAAATCATTTCTTTTTATATAATTTTTTCTTAGCTACTTAATGAGGTTAACTTTTTGAAGTGAAACTTCTTTAGGCGGGTAACATTTTTACGGAACGTCACGAAGATGTGCATCATTTTTGTAGAATGTTTTTTCTTTAATAAAGATGTGCTAGTATAATATTGTGGTGCAGTTATTTATACTTGAACACGGATGGTGTTTTTAATACATATCAATATCATGATTACTTTATTAAGTAACTAAATTACCATTTTTTTGTTGGATTTGTATTTTTATAAGGGCACAGAACCAAGACCTTTTTTGCTAAGACCCAGTTGGCTATTTTAGCAAATTTGGACATAAGTTAGCAATTATGATAATAATGAATTTGTAATATTATTTGGTAATTTTTACCATATTTATGTTGGTATTTCTATATAATAACAACAACTAATTTTAGTTCTGGTTTTTAATCAGCCTTAGCATCATTCATTACTATAGAAAGTTAAATTATGGGATTTGGGCAGCTCAATTACTCAATAATTAATTTACGAAGAAGTTTCACTTCTGACATATTATGTACTTTGTACGCACACACTTTTTTTTATTAACATTACTTGATCTTTTCAGAGATGCATCAATAAAATCATATATATAATTGGAGGTTTTATTTATCTTCCAGTATCATACTCACCAACATATGTTCTGAACTTTGCACTGGTTGAAAGCCAACAAAGGAGATCTGCATTGAGAGTATAGTCCCTACACAGTACAGAGTACTATATGCTACATACACTCGCGAGGAGAAACGCCCCAGCATGATTAGTGCCAGTACATGAAGAGGTATCAGGTTGATGAGAAATACATACCCACCCCAAGATGATACCTACAAGAACATGAAAAATTATACATTTTGAGACATCCATATAATGTACTCTTGAAAGACTAACCTTATATCAATATTCAAAAAACTTGTTCTCTATGATATATATGTTTGTGTAGAGCATAGTTTAAGTGCAACTACAAACAACCAATAATTGATAGGATTTAATAGCTTTTATGCATTTTACTTACTCTACTTAAAATTCTATTCCTAATGTGGGGTAAAATATATATATAATACAAATGTATGAAAGTGCAAAAACTGAACATTTTGTGATAACTATCAGTGTGAAACTTTCATCTTATTGATATTTGATTGTCTTTGGAACCTTTACAAATTAACAATAAAGGTTGGTTAAAAAGTCAATCAGGGTATATGTAAAGTACTAATTTAAAAATATAAGGCTTAAAAAACATATTATAATGCTTTGCTAAGAACAAGAACACTGACTGTAGTCTCTGTTCACTTAGACATCCTTGTTGAACATTATTGATGTGAGGATTTGCTAGTAACCAGCAGGCCTTTTTTAACCAAATGTATATTAAGATCCTTCTAGGTGTTTGGTGCATGCCGGTAAGCATACAATTTATAATACCATGACAAAGACATCAAGTACCTGAGCAAATACATTTTGAAATTATATCTATTCTTACCATGTAGAAGTATGCAAGAGCTGTCATAGTAGCCCATAGAATAGTACCAGTGTTAATAGCTTTGATCCAGAAGTAGTATGTTAGAAGCATACAGAATATAGCAATCCCTTCATTATCATAGCTACCAGCTACAGAACGGCTTATGTATCCTGGTACAATAGCTATCATTGCTGCAGCAACCAGGCCAGCACCTTCATCCTAAAGATATGAAATAACTTGTTCAAACTATTGGTACATGTTATTATTTAATTTTTTTATGTAATCGTAAAGGGGCTTCTATTAATAGTAATAGGTCAATAGATTTACCTTAAGCTCCTTCGTTAGCAAGTAGGTAACAATAGTTGTTAATGATGAAAAGAAAGGTGCAAGGAAGACACACACATTCCTTATATCTATAGTTATATTAAGGAACTGCATAATATTGTATAATGTTGCTGATGTCAACATTAGGCCAGGGTAGATGGTACCTGAATACAAATAATTATTGTAGTGCATCAATTTAATCACTGACATCTTTATTTGAAATAAATGTATGGTATGTTTTACTGATATTACTTTATAATTATACATGATCTCTTTTTGGATAAACACAGACATTGATAATTTATAGTAAGTAATTGTACAGCAATTTGATCAGATCGATTTTGTGAGCTTACCACCAATAATTCGGCCTAGAGGATACCATGCTCTGTCATCAAACCAATTATGAAAGTTATAAAATCCTTCCTCTGTAAGGTATCTAGTTGTCCTGTAGTTAAAGTACGGATCAAATTCGTGGATTACGCTCTCGAATCGTAGCACCGAAAACAAACGTGTCGCAAATGCTAGAAATAAAGTATAATAATGTCAGAAATGTTAGAAAACCTGTTCCAAATTATCGAGTCGGGTACATCCGACCGAGTTGATAACGTCTAACATAACACCACGTAAGTTTTTTGTATATGTTTTAACTAAAATGTAGTTGCGGTTATGTACTTTTTTAAATATTTCATTACTCTTCCACAACATCTACATTTACTTAATTTAAATCTATATTTACTTACACAAAATTGCTGCCATTGATAAAACTGCTAATTTTATAAAAGTAAGCTGTTTATCAGATGATAGATGCGGCATTTTCGCCTTGCTTTGAACGTCGGCAGTCATTGTTGACCGGCTGTTTGGATCTTAAGATATCTCACAGACTATTCATATATATTACTTATAATAGTAAATTATTTCTTCAAATATTGTATTCCCGGCAAACTATTTATTTTTTGAGATGCCGACGACGACCGACGCATCACGTAGAAAGCATGCAGTCGGCACAAAATCTGACAGTATAAAGATAATTGACGTTTACCGTGACATATTGTAAGTTGCGTGGCATCTTAGATAAAATATCAAATATAATATAGAGAGCGATATAGAAAGAGGACCGCAGATGACTCCTTGTTATTGTTTTGTTTATGTATATTTTGTACCGTGCTTTGATGCTAAATAAATTGAAGTGTTAAGATTTTTTATCGGTCGTCTATTTTCACCTTAAATTGATTGCAATTATGTTTGGTCAGAGAGATGTTGTGATTATATAGAATATGATTTTCACTATAGTATTTAAATAGACAAGTCACTAAAATCATGTAAAACGCAATGCTATTAAACGGCTTAAGAGAAGGCCATAACTTTCACGATATAGGATCCCGCGGCCAAAACAAAAATTGCCACAAACATAGCCCTATGTTTGCTATTTTAGAGTTAGATGTAGAGTCATAACTCAGCGTGAACTATAACTCCCGTATATCGAAACCTAATACATTTGTGATATACTAAAAGTTACACTTAGCCCCTAGTCTTGTTTCTGAATCTGAGTCTTAAGTCTTAACACTGACTCTATACTTAAGTTCTTATTCTAAGGGTATTGTCTATTTAAATCGACTGGACAGATTATGAAACAACGGATACGGTATATGTCAAATATCAACATTCGTTTGTGGCCTGTGCCGGATATTGACAATGACAAAGATAGTGGCACTGTCATAGTGTCACCTATTGTCCATGTACATACTAGTAATGTATTTTCATAATTATAAATTTTATTAAAAATAAATACCCCTATCATTATATATTATATATATTAAGTAGTAGCAATAGTTATATTATAATTTTGGAATATCATTTTCTTGTGAGATTTATACAGATATCCAAAATTTAGCTCGTTATTAGGCTTTTAATAATAACATCTTCATTGAACATTAAAAGAACTTTGTTCATATTCTGGTGACTAATCGCATTTCGTCTAACTCCATCTCCAGCAAGGCCGACTCTGGACTATTGAGGATGGCATATTAAATTTTATTTTTTTAAGAGACGAGTGTTAGTTGTGATGTCCGACGGCGATCCATCTCTCGAAGAAGACATTCCCAAACCATTACTCGAAAGACCAGAAGAAAATGTGTTTTCCCCAAAGATCACTACGCCAATATACGCTGGCAGTGTAAAGCTACAACACAAGCTATCAGATTCAGGAGAAACAGAATCATTTCTATCGGATGCTCAACGTAACGACCTCGCTTTTCAACAACTCTTTCAAAATGGAGATGAGAACTTTCACGAAGTAAGTTAATCATACTCAATATATAGTTAATATTAGAACAAAACTTCTTTAAATTTTATAGCAATTTCTATGTAGCAACATATATTAATATATATATATTTTATTTTTTGTCTAAAAGTAAGTGAAAGTTAGATAAATAAGACAATAATTAGTATTTATCTTTAAGGTTAAATAATATAATAGTGGCACTTAATTTTATTATGCTTCGAATTGCAATGGAATGCTTTGCTTATGGCATCTTGTGGTTTTCTACTATTAATTCTATTTAAAATTTATTATCTATCCATATTCATCCTTACATAACTTACTATAGCTCTATAGTTCTATGTTACATAAATTATAATTATGATCAACAATAGAAAACAGTATAATCACAACAATGCAACAACTAAGCTATCAGTGTTTAAAAAAATATAGTCCAACTTTGAAGTATGAACTGAATAGTTGTATAGTTTGTATAATAACAACTGTTTGTAACATATGATATGAAATTATGCATTTTTATATTTATTTGATGTTTAAATAAAACTTTTGTCATTTGGAAGGCTTATCTAAAGCTAGCTATTTAATTACATGATAGAGTTATCAAAGTTATAAAGTAGTTAAATAATGGAAACTATGATGATAAGTTGATTTGCAATTGAATTTTGTTGGGGCAAAATTATTAACAGGTATTTCTTTGCATTGTTGTCAAATTAATAAAAATGTTATTATTTTAATGTGATGATTTGAATTGAGTGAAATACTCTGAATCTTTCTTACTTCAATTGATTACATACACAAAATTTCATTATTGTCAACGTATGGGACATCAAATACAGATGTTAATCGAAAAACTTAGGCATAGCAAGTAAGCAAACATTTGCTTATAAAAAGTAGCAGAAAATAATTACTTAAGATATTAAACATTACAGGGGCTTGTCTTTGCTAATTATGTGGGCGTGTAAAATACAAAAGTCAATAATGGCATTGCTCATTACTGAAAAATATGCTAATCCCTGGCAGTTTAAAAAGATAAGTGGCGGCCCACGCACCGTAAAAATTGACGATCGCGTTTTCATAATTCAATAAATTGGCTCCTCAATAGATTAGTAGGGGTTTTTTCCAATGTGTAATTTGACAATTGTTCTGAAAAATAAGGTGAACCTAAAGTTAATGTTGAATTAAGGTTATTGAGTGCAGCTGTTTGTTTTTTGTATGATGTCATCAACTGAATTTTTTTTTTTTTTTTTTGACTCCCTAAGTTAAGAGTTTAATGTTATAAGAGTTATAATGACTTAATTCGAGTGATTGAGAAATCTATGTTATCTCTTCGAGATAAAAAATCTTACGTAGATAAAATCTTCATATAAGACCGTCAGTTGTGTTGAAGTGTTAATCAAATACAGATGAATCAGAATCGCAGTTGAAGGCAAGGCTAGTCGTAAGTTTTACCAGTCAGTTTAGTGCCGTCATTATGATCGCTAGGAGTATTATAGACATGCTGTGTTATGTATTATACGACGCCGGCGGTGCTGGGGTATTTAGGCTTCGAAGGCGACGTAGGTCTGTGCCGTATGTTACGAATGTATGTCTTTCACATTATGACTCGATCCGTATTTGTTTTTGAAGCCTCTGAGATAAAATACTATAGCATACAAGTACTGGTAATGGTTATATAAGATTACTATCTATTAATTAGTAAAAATATAAACGAACTCTTCGGAGACATTATTTTGAACTGTAATACTGTCCAGATAAAGTTTAAACTACCGTGACAACATATTAATTGTATAAAGGAAAAAACATTTTATATTTTTAGTTACTAAAAACACAGTAGACATATATCTACAAGTGGTGACCTTACGGAAACTAGGTAGCGTTTAAAAGACTAAGGTGTAATTACTTCCAAACACCTAATTTAAAACAATTGTGTTACTTTGTTCAAGGCTATATTCGCTTAACTTTTTTAAATACACGTAACGTTGTTAATACAAATATGCAAAGTTTTTTTGAAGACTCGGTCAAAAATCGCTTTTCGCATTTTTACGATAACAAGCCAGCTTCATGCTATTTAAGACTGGCTTTCTTTGGTAATAAGAAGAACTGATCTGTAATTCTTTGGGCCAGAGGGAGAAGGAGACGCAAGGGAGGATGGCCGATCTTCAGGCCATGTCGGTTCTCAGCACGTACCAAGACAATCTTTCACAGGATATGAATACAGATAGGTGAGTTCGGGAAGCCCTGTTATGTTGATGTTGGGTTATAAGATGTTTTAATTTGGTTGTGATGTCATGATCCTGTGAATGTCTAAAATATGTGTAAAATATAAATAAAATATATTACTTAAGTTTATGACTTAAATAAATTAGTCACACCGATATGAGATTTTTCCCAATTGTTAATTTTGCAATTAGATATTTTTTAATGAAATTTCATGAAAAATTATGTAACTGTAAAGGTATGGTTATATCATTGAATGTTGTTTATCCTTAATTAAAGTAAAAACTAATAATATTAATATAATAATTACGTCATTGCTTTGAACGTAACGTTAAAACATGGCGTATATTAATCTGCACATTTTGCAATTATGTATAAGTAATTTTCTTATAACAAAAGGATATAATTGTTTTATTCTCGGTAACAGTTAGGTGTTTATTAAGATAAATGCAAGTTCTACTAATCTCGATTTTGATTCATGTATTGAAAGGACTTTTTTTTTTTTTTAAAGACAATTCACACCAATTGACCTAGTCCCATGCTAAGCTGGTGAAGCTTGTGTATGGGTACTACAACGATACATACATATTATAGATAATAACGTATAAATACATATTTAAACACCCAAACCTAACACAACACCAAATGCTCATCACATCGATGTTCGTCTCAGCCGGGGATCGAACCCGGGACCCATGGATTCGCAGTCAGGGGTACTGACCACTAGACCAATGAGTCGTCAAACTACTATCATGACTATCATGAGAATTAAAATAGTGTCAGTAATCTTTACAAAAGGTGGCAATGATCTACTGTTTGGCCGAAACCCACCTGGGGCTAGGGAAAATCACTTTTGGACAACCGTGACCCTAACTCTAAATGAATTTTTATGGGAATACATTAGCTCACGTTTTGTCACGTGACCATTATCATACAAATTCGTTTGGTATTAGTAGGTGACGCCTATCGAAAAGTGAAAAGTAAGATAAGGTTTATGAAAGAGCACAGGAGGTTCCTTTAATGCTATTTTAATAGCGACAGAAGAAAAAAATACCTGCGTCTCAATTGTTTTAATAGTACAAAATGATAATATCACATAATAACATCTTTAGCTTTGATCCCCACGATCAAGATTTTTAAGGGCCACTGCGTGTAGGTTTATCTTCATATTTGTTAGCTCCGTGTAATAAATTGCAGAGATGATAGCGAGGCTTCAACAAAAACCGCAGAGGAATGTGGTTGTGGGCCAACATATCCTGATTCGGCCAACAATAATAGTAAACCCACTACCAATCATTGCTCGTGAGTAACGTTGGCCAATGTGATGTATAGAGTAAATATTGGTCCACTCATTTTACCGACCAATCTCAATAATGTACCTTTTCTAAATAGTATTTTTTGCAATATCCTTGAAACGTTGACAGAGGTGCATTAAGTTATGATACAAAAATGTTTTTTTTATTAAGTTATATAATATTCTACATACTAGCTATACTAAATACCAGTAATAGCACCGGCGCATCGAATGCTGCTTAGCACAAGTCAATTAAACAAGGTTTATTTTTCTACGAAAATAATAGGTTTTCTGCGATAATAACACCTCCGTAAGGTGTTCGTTTACTCGATGAACTTGTCTAAGTCCCTAAAGACAGATCTTATACATGCAGAATAAGCCTCAAACCTTTGTTTTGTCGCGTTTATTTATATAAATAAGTGTGAGAAAGAAAAAAGTCGTCTTAATAAATATACGATAAAGAATGGTTTTGGTAGAATCGCAGTGTAATTTAAAGTAGCAATTGAGATTGGTCGTAATTTATGAATGTAGTATTTTTTACTAATTTGTAGTTTGCACATTTATATTAACAATATATCATTTTCGTGATTGCACGTAGATTTGTAAGTAAATGATACTGGTATTTTACGAATATTTTACATAATAGTTCACTGTTATTGGTAAGATTGCCTTTTATTTTCCCTTCGAAATCAATGATTATTTTCTTTAATGATACGCATAACATAAACATCCATATTTATTAGCAAATTATGTTATTTATTTTCATTTATTCTATTTCATCTCTATCTATTCATTTCGTGGTATTGTGTTGTCTATGTATTGTCAGGGATGAATGTATGGGTATATGGTGGTAGTATTGTTTGTTGATAAAACTCTCATTAATGCATACTAACATCAGTTTTAATCTTATTTACGCCTTTGCTTTGCATTTATAATAGAATATAAAAGTGTTATACATTACAAAAATTGTGAATGAATTCTTTTACATCTTAAAACGATAGAGAAAAATTTAACCAATACAATTTTCCGACGTGTATCGCACGTGGTTGACTTTAAGCGGGGATGTCTGGACTTAATGTCTGAATCCTAGAATCTGTGAATAAATGTTTCGGCTAAGAAGATCACAAAACAAAGCAGAAAAATTATATTCAAAATTCATATTTAATATCGAAAGATACACTTTTCTATAAAGTTCATTTGTTAGTATTGTTAAATTTAAGATAAAACGAACTTTTCTTGCCCTGTCTCCAGGATAGTAATGGGTGGAATTCTAAACAATCCTTCGCTATCTTTCAATGACGGCGTACGTTCTGTGGACTTCGTGTTAGTATGGGAAGCGGGCAAAGAAGATGCGACATCGAGGGAGGCATACGAACAAAGGAAAGTTTTTGAACAGAATCTCGAAAATGAGGGGTTACATCTAGAAAGGGAGGCCCCTGAAAATCTACACGGATTGCACTTTATCAAGGTAGGTCTTAATATAAAAATCCCTTTAATAAGACGTAGACCAAACAAAACGAAACGTATTTCCGAACCAATTCGACTTAGGGTCCTTCAAGAAAAGAGCGTACCAATTCTTAAAAGGCCGGCAACGCACTCGCGAGCCTCCTGGCATTGAGGGTGTCCATGGGCGGCGGTATCACTTAACATCAGATGAGCCTCCTGCACGTTTGCCCCCGTTCTATAAAAACAAAATACCTGAATTATTCTAAGGAGGTTTACAATTTCACGTTTTTTTTTGTATATAACTAGTCCATCTGGAGATCATATGTGTCCATTATGTCTATTCAATAAATTATTTAGCTCTATGGTGTTTAAGCTAAGAATCTAAAACTATTCTCGTCTTCTCTATCCTATAATATACATTTTGGTTCTAAAGCTATATTAAAAATGGAATGTATTTTTCATCGTGATTGCATGTTTTTTTCTAGATTCACGCGCCATTATCTGTACTTAGAGATTATAGTGAGATATTAAAACTAAGGATGCCAATGAAGGTAAGACTTTTATAAATATGAATATTATCAACAGATTATGACATTAATTACATAATTATATCGAGTAATTAGATAAATGTATTTGTATGTGCAAAATTTAGTAACGAATTGCTTTTAGTTTAATTGTTTAGTATAGATATTTATTATTTTATGGTAATAAGTCTTATTTATGACATATATCCGTCTATTTAATGCTACATTACTTAACACATACAATTACTTGATTTACGAATTGGGTTTTTGCCTGTAATTAATTTGACAAATTTGGTCCTTCGAGCCGGAACATTACTATTTATTTTTTAATCGTAAAAATTGTTAGGATTGCAGTAAGATACGGAAAAGTGGGCGGACGAATGCGATACTGAGCGCTGCCTTGTATATGTCTAAGGTATGCAGTTGTCGAGATCACAACGCTTCGCTAACAACGCTTGGGGTGCATTAACATACACATTACTAAAATAATTCATATTTCAATAAGAAACTGTTCTTGATATTGACAGCACAATGCAGTTATTATTAATCGTCGCGCCCTTACCTTACCAAATAAGGTGGTGGGTTGCCAAATATGTTATTACCATGTCTGTGTGTGTCTTTCTTTATTTTCTGGTATTGTATGTGTGTTTTGAAATTATTACCGGTGTTTGGTAAACTAACTTTGGTGTTTTTGGCTTAATTGAAATTTAGTATTGAAATATTTGATATCATTAAGATGATAATATGATTATAATTATTATATATTATTATAATATATTATATATTTAATATTAAATATATATTATATATTTATTATATTAATATGATTATAATATATTATAACTGACTAATACATTGTATTTACGCGAGTGAGCATTTTAATTAAAATATTTTAAAGTGCAATATTGGTAATCCCTTCATTTACTATGCATGTCAACATAGCAACGCCTGTTGTATGTTCATATTAAATAACAAATTTTCAATTGAGCTGTGAAGGCCATTGCCATTGTATAACCCTAACTAAAATAGAGATCCTTTAATCATCCTGTGAACCGACGCTGTCTACTGATATCAGTGACTAACAACAGTGTTTATGATATCGTGACGCAGAAATAAAAATGGGCTAATCAAACCATTACAGATACATTTGCCATATATGTCAATTATGTCTGAATTAAAAATATATTTTATTCACTGAGAATACCTGCTGCTCATTGATCACTCCCGCTGTGACTACTGGAGCTGAGATGTTTCATCATCCTATGTCAGCCATCAAGTCAAGTTTTCAATATATACGAAATAATAATACAGGAAATAATGATTTTATTTTAGTTTTCGGCTCTAAAAGATGCACCAGAGAAAACGAACTCCTTCCTGGAGCGTATAGACGTATGGTGGGACGGAATTATGTCAAATATAAGAGTGGACCCGAACCTCTTCCCTGAAAGAAAGCATCGACTCACTGCCATTTATTCAAAGGATAAGGAGTACTTGTGAGTATATATATTTTTTATTTAGTTATATATTGGATTTTTGAAGTTATACTTTAGGCGCGTTATAAAAAATTGATGAGAGTGAAATTTTACGATGCGCGCGCACCGTGACATAAAATTAACAGAATGAAATTGCCCACGGAAGATGCTACGGCATTGGACATAATTTAAAAACAACATTCGAATAATAATAGAATTTATGTTACACTTAATGTAAGAGAATAATAATAAATATTTATTTATTTAATTTTTCAAATGTAAACTGAACTTTATTGACTATAATGACTCCTTTTCCAGTCTTTGATTATTTAATTGTTATTAATTATTTGCGTGCAATCAAAAACTATTTTTAATAATGCCAAAGAAGTATAACTTCTTACGCGCGTACATAAGTACACGCACCCTTTTTTTTACGTAATTCTTATTTAAATGAGAGATTTTACATAAGAAACTATATTTACAATATGTTTGTGGTACTCGACAGCCTTTTACTTCTGTACAAGCATGATTAACTAAACACGATATCAGTCGTGGTTTTAATAGTTGTATTTTAGTAACTTAAGGATTAATATTGTTTCTCGGTCGATTATTTAAGAACAGAGTGCAGTAGTCAATACATTTCTACATGAGTGATACTTGCCTATGCTTTTCGTTGGGTGACTTTTTACCAGCTTGTAAATAGCTTCCATAATTATTTACTTCATGTAGTATAAGTTAGTTTGGTTTTCTTATGTATTTATATTTTTTTAATGTTATAACAATAATTAGTTGCTTTAAAATGTGTAATGGCTGAGGGTGCTTAAAAAGTGCAAAAAAAATAAAAAAATGTTGGCGATTTAAAAGACGGAGTTTATTGCCAGTTTTTCTCGAGCGTTGTACGACCTTGATTTAAGAACTGGCAGTAACGTTACTATGTAAATATGGAAGCATTTTCTATGTTTTTACAGACGTTTATAAGTGTACCTATATGAATAAATGTTATATTGATACACTTTCTGCCTAATAGTGATGACGATGACCAGGATTAGAATAGCTAAATAATTCCTATCACGTACAATAATAATATTTTCTGTATTTTATTCAGATTCGACACGACATCGGATTGTTTCTGGACACCGTCGATAAGATCTCGTATTGTGCAATTTATTCTGGATCGAAAAAAATTCTCGGAGTCCCCGACGGATGACTTCGCGTTTGGGGTTTCTAGGCTCATATCGAACAACGTATACAGCGCAGCGTATCCTTTGCACGATGTGAGTATTGAACTACGATACAAAATAGAACAGTGTATTGGAAGCCACCAATATGTGGAACTCAGCTGCCCGTCGAAGTATTTCCGAACTAATTTGACTTAAGGTCAAACTAGCACGTATTTTTAAACCCGGCAACGCACTCGCGAACCTTTTGGCATTTTGAATGTTTATGGATAAGGTGAGCTTCCTGCCCGTTTGCCACACTTTCCATACAAAAAAAGATAGTTGAGTAGGAAAGCATAATATGGCATACATTATATAACACTGTTGAATACTAGATTGATGGTCAAATGGAAAATGGTACAGACAGCAGGTCCCCTTTGAGGCTTAATTATTATGCAATTGTTTTGGTGACCATCCTTTTTAAAAAAACACTGGTACTGTCGAGTTATGTAATAATATATATGTTACCGTAAAATTGTAAACACCGTTAGATTGTAATCTATCTCGCGAGATTATGAACTGTCGAATGATTGTGAACCTCAACGCACTGCTTACAATTTAATGTATTATTATTCGGTAGATTGTAATCTATCGAAGTGAAACCGTCAAACTTTACTTCCCAATAATTTATAAATATAATTATATTGATTATAATCAAATCTAAAGCTGTGAGTTACTTTCAACACGACATCAAAGTAATATTTTACAATCTAACGGAGTTTACAATTTTACGGTGACATATATTTCACATGCATGATATCCGATGTAAAGAATGTCTCGGGGGCCTCATAGCCTAGCGGTCTTATTAAGTGGCAGCTAGGTGAGGGGTACCGGGTTCGATTCCCGGTTCGAGGGCAAATTTTAATTTAATTTAAAATTTGTTCTCGGCCTTTGGGAGGGTTGTGCGGTACCGGGCGAGTGCCTAAACCGTACATGGAGGACACGGTCGAATTTCTAAGGCAAAAATAACGAATTATAAAAATCCTATACTTGACGCTGGCTAATGCACAAATCGTGCCAGAGCCATAATAAAAAAAAAATAAAAAAAAAGAATGTCTCATAATTAAAGTTTATTTGAGGATAACAATGACGATATATGTTCAAATGTTGTATTCAAGGATATCTGAGTTAATAATTTTAATGCAAATTAAGTTCGTTTATTTATTAAGAATAATATTTAAGAAAACATTATTGAAGTGAATAAGATATAAATAACAGAATTTTGTATACAGGGTGATCTCAAAACGCCGGGCTCAATGCGTCACCTGCTGTATACAGAGTGGGCGAGTGTCTCAAAGTGTATCAAATATCAACCACTCGACTACGTCAAGGACTACTTTGGAGTTAAAATTGGTAATTTTATAAATGATTATACTTAATAATAAGGCAGATTTTAGTCACAGGTCAGGCGAAATCTCATACGTTTTTGACAGATAGGTGTCATACTTAGTTTAGATTCTGAATAAAAACGTAGACAGATAAGCATGTACCGTACAACCCTAAGATAAAAATACGGTCTTTTTTGGGTATCAATCACTACATAATTTTTACAAAACAATTTTTTAAAGGTTTGATTATAAAGGATTAATATTTTCGAAATACGAAGTTTAAGTTCAGTGGTATTAACCATTTCCGAACCAATTCGACTTAAGGTCCTTCAAGAAAAGAGCGTACCAATTCTTAAAAGGCCGGCAACGCACTAGCGAACCCTCTGGCATTGAGAGTGTACATGGGCAGTATCACTTAACATCAGATGATCCTACTGCCCGTTTGCCCCCTGTTCTATAAAAAAAACATTCACTTATTAATACTTATGTATTTTTTCAGGGCTTTACTTCGCATGGTTGGGGTTCTACACACACATGCTAATCCCGGCGTCACTTATGGGTCTCATATGTGTAATTTATTCAGCTGCTACTATGGGTTCTGATAAACCGAGGTATGTTACCACTTTGGACACTGCGTTTGATTGTTCATGACTCATACAAACATTAAACATTGCACTGGGGCTTGGAAACCAAAATATTATACTGAAATATATTCCGATTCCAATAATATCATACTACTTTTTTTAAGTCGGTTAAGCTGTAAATACTCGTTTAAGATATAAGAGAGTTAGAAAATTAATTAATTAACTTTTCCCCAGTGACGACGTATGCAAATACAACTCGTCGATAAAAATGTGTCCACAATGCGACTTCCACTGTGACTTCTGGGATCTGAAGGCCACCTGCCTCCAGTCGAGGATTACGTATCTCTTCGATAATTCTACAACGGTGTTTTTCGCGATATTCATGAGTTTTTGGGGTGAGTTATAATTTATATTAATTATTTTCTCAAATATTCTATCTCTACATTTATTACTAAGGCGAAAGAATTACACAATTATACCTAAACTTGGGTAATTCTAGAGTAAAAAATATATACCAATGGCGCTACAACCTTTTAGGTCTGGGCCTCAGATTTCTGTATCTGTTCCGTGATCGTTTCTAATAGGCAGATAGGTATACTGATAATCTTCCGAGGCGTAGATATTCACAATCCATATATCCATCATAATACCCAGAACAAAACTGGTCGAGTATATAAGGGGTCGTTCAAGTATTACGTAAGCAGATTTACTGCAATTTGTCCCCCCTCTTGTCAGCAAAAGTAAGCGAAGCTCTCAATCTTTATTTACCCATATTACCCACACATTGTCTATGCTTGAAAACGAAATAAATTTTTGAGGATTCCTATTAAAAAAAAATTGTGCGTGTACTAGGTGTACACACGTAAGAAGTGAAACTTCTTTATGATCTTATTTTTCCAAAAATGATCTACTATATGCAACTTTACAGAAATTCGTTAAATTAGATAAAGTTTAACAAAAGGCTTTTATTATCATAGACATGAATACAAATATTTAATTTTACCTTATTACTACGAAGATTATTATAGAATTTCATTAATTGTAATAGAATTATTACTATCATTGAAAAACGTGACGATTTGCTACAAAATTTCTCCCATACGTCGATAAAGAAGTTTCATTCCAACGCCGATAAAGAAGTTTGACTTCAAAAAGCAACATGGCGCGTAACCGAAAAATGTGACGCGTAACGAAAAAATGTTACACTAAAGTTTCACTTCAATAATACGTTTATGTCCTACTACTTTACTTTTTCTGACAAGAGGAAGGGGAGGGGGGAGGGGGATAAATTGCAGTAAATCTGCTTACGTAATAGTTGAACGGCCCCAGTTCACCAATGTAGTTTTTGTGTTTAGGAGTATCTAATGAATTTCTATATATAAGATTGTGTAATTGTAAAATATTTTAGGGGCTTGTTTCCTGGAACTATGGAAGCGATATTCAGCAGAAATGACCCATCGTTGGGATTTAACTGGTTTCGACGTTTACGAAGAACATCCAAGGCCACAATATCTAGCACGGCTTGCGCATGTCAAAAGGACTCAGGTATTTAAACTCTATCTTCTATTTCTTCTATAAAATTAGGGTAATTGTTCTTCGGATTGCTTTTATTTAACGTTGATAAATTCCTTCTGAATAAACATAATCCATATCTGTATTCCTTTGAATAATTTGTCTAATAAATAAAACGACTTAGGGTCCTTCAAGAAAAGAGCGCACCAATTCTTAAAAAAAAAAGTTAAATATATTTCTTTTGAAAATACCTCTTTATTAAAATTAATTGAATTTTCTTTAAAAGCTCTTTTCCTTTCAGCTGAACGTAGTGACCGGCGAAAGAGAACCAATGGTTCCGTTCTGGCGTATGCGTCTTCCAGCGGCGCTGATGTCATTTAGTGTGGTAGCATTACTGGTGTTGCTGGCTCTAGCGACGGTATTAGGAGTGGTGTTATACAGGATGTCCCTTCTCGGCGCCTCGATATTCCGGGAACAAGACCCGAACTCCCTAATCGCGTACAGCCCTATCATGTTCACTTCTGCCACAGCTGCTTGTATTAATTTGGTGTTCATTTGTATTTTTAATTATGTAAGTATACTTTTCCTTTAACGAAATAAGAATTCCTTAGGTCAGTTTTACTTACAAAAATTTACTAAGATACAAAGAAGCTTAATAAATCAGTTTTGTTATTAAAATGTCTTGCTACAATTATTCCATTAATAAACTGACTACTAAAATTGATCTCCCAAAACCCAGCATAACTTCAGTAGATTTGAATTCCATATTAAAATTCTAACTATAAATTTGTGGTTTGTAGAGAGACTTTTTTTGGCCTTTATAGGAAGATAGACTATGATTGTTTTTATATAAAGTTTTTTGAACTTTTACCACGTTATTTTGTTCACCATAGACTCAAAAATAGATTTGCCCGCTAATATTTCTTAAAACTAGGATTGTACACGAAAATACGTACTCTAAGTTTCACTAAAAGAACAACGAAGAGGTAAAAAATAAAATGAATTCTTGAAATTTCAGATATACCAATACCTAGCGGAAAGGCTAACAGAGAAGGAACTGTTAAGAACTCAAACAGAGTTTGATGACTCGTTGACATTAAAGATATACCTTTTACAATTTGTCAACTATTACGCGTCCATTTTCTACATAGCGTTCTTTAAGGGCAAGTTTGTCGGACGACCGGGGGCTTATATGCGACTGTTTGGTCAGAGACAAGAAGAGGTAAGTGTATAGAATTACAGAGTTTCTTATTGTCTTTGGTTTACGGCAGTACTCAACGTGTCTTATACTATGATCCTTATTCAAAAGATAAGACATACTGAGAACGCAGGACACATAAACAGTGATTTTTGTAAAAATCCCATTACTAAAAAGCTCTCGAACCACCGTGTTATTAAATAAAATAAAATTTGTGTTAAAGAAGTTTTATTTTAAAGATTAGTTAAATATTTAGAAATTTACACTATAATGTTTTTATCGTGTACATTGTACATAATATATGATAACACATATACATAACAACAGAGGGTTAGAAACACAAAAATTTAGTTTTGATGTTATGCTGTTTTTGAGATAGATGATAAAGGTTAAATTGTTGATATTGTGAAATTTTGCGTACAAGCTTTGAAAAGGATTCGTTCATATGAAATTCTACAATTTGGTATGATTTATGGTCACCCAATCTAATAGCTGCCGCTTCGTAGCTTAGTTAATGCATATAGCGTATAACGTGAAAGTCCTGGATTCAATTTCCGGCGAAAATAATAAATGTTTAACATACGTACAAAAGACTGATTAAACACTCGCCTGTATACTATATAACTAAACACAGAAATGTGTCTGCCTCATGTCCTATTTGACGATCACAGGACTTCAATAAATAACCATAGAACTCTTTGAATAATTCAGATTTTGCATTTTTTTTGCTACCTTATTTTCATGACACATTTTTCATATTTGGAAGTGTTAAAAATTTGTTAACGCTTCTGCAGTGTTCACCTGGTGGTTGTTTCCTCGAACTCTCCATCCAGCTGGCTATCATCATGGTGGGGAAGCAGTTCATCAACACCATAGTTGAGATGATGATGCCCTATCTGCTTAAGTGGTGGAACATTATACGTGCAATCGGCAGGAAAAACACGTATGTGAAATTATATTTTTTAGATTCTTTAAATTGACGATATTTTTATTGTTTGACTGACTTTTAACACATTTTGTGTAACATACATAACATGACACACATAGTACTAATGCTTATAGTAAAAAAAAATACTTATCTACAAAAAAAATATCTCACGCCCTATAATATAATATATGAATTTAAGATTTCGCATTATTATTATTTAAAAAAGAAATGCATCAAAAACCGGCATGCTCATTGTGTTTTCCTAAAAATAAGTTCTAAATTAACTTATAAATGAAGAGAATTTTATAATTTTGTATGTAAAAACAATTTTAGTTTTTACCATTACTGTTTGAGAACTGGCAGTAAATGTAAAATTAAAAGCATTTAATGTATATTTCTTTTTTGACGATCATAAGTGTACATTGTGTTGCCTATATGAATAAATGATTTTTGACTTTTGACTTATTACAAATAATTTGTAAATTTATGGTAAAATATTTGAAATGTATGAAAAGATAATATTTTTGTCATCATTTCAGAATAAAGAGCTCTCTGCGGTGGGTGAAGGACTTTAAATTAGTTGACTTTGGAAATATGGGTCTGTTCCCCGAGTACTTAGAGATGGGTAAGTTCAACACACAAAATTCAATTCTACTACTTGGTTAACGGAGATATTCTATTATCTTTGATTACGGAGTCTTTTTTAACAGATAGAGTTAGGTGCTGGAATTGCCTCTCTTTGATACAATTGGATGATAATCGGATCTACGGATAATTAAATTATTAATTTCCAAAATAAAACCAAGAACCTTATTTATTGTATCTTTCCTTATCTTTCCTAGCTTTAATAATATAAATCAAATGGCAAATCACCTTCGACAACCTTCGATCTCCATCATCAGAGTGGTATCAGCTATTTACCAGCACATATGGGTGTTACAAATTTCAGGTCAAATATGTGTGAAAACAAGGTAAATGCCCATTATACGTGTAAGATTTTAAACGTACCTTAACTTTTTAACCTTGAAACCTGAACAGATCTTCATAAATTCTAGCTAATAACAATCTTGATTATATGTAAGCTTTAAAAAAATAACGATAAATTACCGGTCCATTTGTTTAGGAGCTACGACGTTACAGACAGACACGTCAATCTTACTTCTTAGTTAAACTTTAAACCCCAGTAACAAGATTGAGTACGTATCATGAGGCGTTATCTGACGCATAGCAAATATTTTGATTGACTTTGTTATTTTGCAATTTCAGTATTACAATATGGTTTCGTGACGATATTTGTGGCGGCGTTTCCTCTAGCGCCATTGTTCGCGCTCATCAACAATATATTAGAGATGAGGCTTGATGCTTCCAAGTTCCTTTCGTGCTATCGCCGTCCTGTGCCCCAGAGAGTCAATGATATTGGGGTGTGGTATAAAATCCTGGACTCTATTGGAAAAGTCAGCATTATTACAAATGTAAGTCAAAAAAAAAAAAGTATTTTTGGTATTTAAGCAATAATATTATTATGGCTGGTAGGTTTTAAAGGCTATCTTAGTAAAAAATTATGAGGTTACATAAGAGTAAGACAGTGACATATGACCCAAAACAGCGACGGGTTTGGGCTTGTAAAATCCTACTTAATGTTATAAACGCGAAAGTTTTTACGTATGGATGGATGTTTGTTACTCTTTCACGTAAAAACTACTGAATGGATATTAATTAAACTTTACAATAATATAGCTTATATATCATAATAACACATAGGCTACACAGTTTATAAAGATATTGTGTGAATTGTCCAAAATATCAAGTAAGTAGGAAAAAATCTACCAACTGCGAGCTATTCTGGCGTGTGATGCGAAAACAGCTAGAGTTACACATTATGTAATGTATGATGGAAATGTTTATCTTAAATAGTCGGACAAAAAAGCCCTCCACAGTATATATCTATGTCTTATGTGTAAACCATTATAAATAGTAAATCATCATATTTTTTACCAGTTAGTAATAATTTGATTCCTAAAATATGAAAATAGATACTTTTATCGCTTCTGGGATTTGAAGTAGATAAAATATGTCTTTCAAGCTACATAATTTGGACAAAAGTCGCGGGCACCAGCTAGTATAAAATAAAATCATGAAAAATATTGAATTACTGTTTTACAGATAACATATTAATAAATTGCAGGGTTTCATAATAGCGTTCACATCAGATTTTATACCGCGGCTAGTATACAAATATACTTCTGGCACATTGGACCAGTACGTCAATCACACCCTCACTGATTTCAATGTAACGGTGTTGGAAACACACCCTTTGAAGACAACGTATAATGGGAGTATGTGCAGGTAATTATATGTTAAAAATTAATATATTATATATATTCTGGAGTGGGTAGTTGCAGAAAGTAATCTCTGGAACCGGTTATTTATATATTTACATAAAATACAATCTTGTTTAATAGCAAAAGAAGCAAACAATTAATTAAGAAAAACAAGATAACGAATATTTAAATAATAATAAATAAATCAGTGGCGCTACAACCTCTTTAGGTCTTGGCCTCAGATTTCTGAATCTGTTTCATGATCATTTTTAAATTTAATAGGCAAGTAGGTGATCAGCCTCCAGTGCCTGACACACGCCGTCGACTTTTTGGGTCTAAGATATGTCGGTTTCCTCACGATGTTTTTCTTCAACGTTCGAGCAAATGTTAAATGCGCACGTAGAAAGAAAGTCCATTGGTGCACAGCCGGGGATCGAACCTACGACCTCAGGTATGAGAGTAGCACGCTGACGCCACTAGGCCAACACTGCTCTCATCATCTCTCTCATATCCAACGAATATTTACAAAATGAAAAAAACTAACTAATTAATACTGGCACTTACAAATAATAGGACTTTTGTCAGTTCACTCAACGAACAATAAATAAGGTCCTTTAACCCATATAAATATGTGCCCTTTTAGAATAATCTAGTAATTTTTAGGAGGTTTGGTACAAGCCGAGGGTATATATGACATAATATAGTAAAAAAAAGTGGGATGATTTTGCCTCCTGACGTACCCATTAGGCATATCAAGGCACATTTTATCTAGTCCATCACAAGCGCCAACAACCAAGAATAAATTAATCCGGCCTTAAAAAAAGGGTACACCGTATAGATGTGCCAAACTGTACAGGGCAGCCATTTCAAAACAATATACTGTTAGTTTTTGTCATAACTATTTTAATTCCTATTCTGTTATTATGAAAATTGGCCCACAAGCAAACAAAAAAAAAATTATAACTTTAAATTACACAGTTTTCTAGAAATAAATAAATAAATCCGTCACTTTAAGGACTGCTTAATTTGAAATTTAAAACACATGGATTTTTTTTTAATGTAGCCATAATATTTAGTCAATATAGTTACCAAATATGATAAAAAGTGGATTTTGTTTTTTTTCAAATCCGACATTGTTCTACGATCATGACGCTATGACACAGGCAATATTGAAATATTTGTTTGTCATTAATATTTGTGTTTTGTTGCTACAAAATTAGCAACAATTCAATAATTATTATTGTTATGAGTATACGACAGTAGTATTAATTAATTAGTTACATTTTGCTACCTTTCAAATGAATGAATACGTCAATATAAAATCAGTAGGAAATAACCATGATTTTTTTCTACAGTTACCCGGGGTACTGGTCGTACAGCGAAGGCGATGATTACCAGCACTCAAATTGGTATTGGCACGTGATGGGTGCACGACTTGCCTTCGTTGTCGTTTTTGAGGTATTCTTTTTTTTTAAATAATTCCATATGAAATATCTTCCCATTATGCTAATCGTAAGAGCTTTTTTAAGACATTTTACAAAGGAAGGTTTGAAACAACTATTAAAATCCTCTCCATCCTCTCAATCTCGACATCTGGCTTGCACACAACACTTTTTAAGACACTTTTTGACGGAAGGAGCTCTTTGTGGAACGAGCTGTCAGTAGAGGTATTTCCTAATCAATACAACTTAGGGGCCTTCAAGAAAAGTGCGTACCATTCCTGAAAGGTCAGCAACACGCCCGCTAGCCACTGGCGTTGCTAGTGTTTATGGGCGGTGGTGACAAAGTGACCTGATTGCTCGTTTGCTTTCTGTCACATGAAAAAAATTCGGTCAGCAATTTCCTACCAAAGATAAAAGTTTAATATCTATGATTATATATTACATATATTTGCCTATTCAATTCTCACATACACCTATTTTATTTTCAGAACGTGGTAGCATTGGTCATGATATTCGTCCGTTGGGCGATACCAGACATGTCGGGCGAATTGAGAGATAGGATCCGACGCGAGGCTTACGTCATCAACAGTTTCATAATGGAGGAGACAAGAGCTCGCTCTCTCGCTCGCACACCTGTACCAAACCGCGTCATGAGCGAGACAGGAAATGGAAGACCTCAAGGTCACCGCAGTAATAACACGGTTACGGTAGGCGTTGGAAGTATGCGTGCTTAATGACGGGGCACGTTCGCTGCTATTCCAAGAAAATCGTTTTAAATAAAAATAAATTTAATAAAATTTGTATTATATTTTAATATTATCAAAGCAGCTAACGAGACCCGAATAAAATACTGTGTTGTGTTGATACTCTGACTAAATTTGAGTTCTTTCCCTAACAACATCAAACAACATCACTAGTGAGTAGTTCAGTGTGTTTTTTAGAAATATATTAGATTTGTCATTGACTACAATACTCATATATATATTCGTGACTTTAAATTAAAAAAAAGAGACCATGAATTCTTAAAGTAGCTCTGCATAACCGGCTTTGTATTTGCTTTAAACTAAAATTTGCTTAATTTTGTAAAATTGCATTTGAAAGGGGTGTAATTTTTTTATTGAAAAGTATCTCAATAATATTGTATCGTTAACCGGTTATAAATAGTCAGTGTTTTGAACACAATATGGCGTTTTTAAAGCAGGGACATCAAATTAGACATTTTCATACGAATTTTATTTAAAAAAAAATTAATAATTTAACGATAAATATATATTTGATTAAAGATGTTCTTGCTTAAAGATTCTCTTTTAGCTTCAACATGGCAGCCCCACACACGTGAGTGATACTGGTTTAAACACATTTGCATGATTCATTAACTACACTAAATCACATAATATGCACGATTCCAATATTCAACCAATAAACAGTAAAAGACTGTTTAGTTAACAACAATATTATAAATATTGTTTCATATTGAATCGGACATCTAAGAATTCTGAATATTTAATTTTAAGTTTAAAATGTAAGAATATTCGTTAACATAACGTCGTTAGTATACAAATATATCTACAATAAAGGATTGATTTAAATTTATAAATATTAGATTTAAAGAATGTTATGCTCATAAAAAACATTCCATAAAAAATCTATCAGTATTTGGTTCAAATGTTTTTAACATATTTTCTATGGGATATCTCCGCACACCACGCGTATAATTGACTAGTATCGACAGCGACAGCTCTTGACAAAGGTCAACTTTGAACTGAGATAATTCGACTTTCGGGGTGAGACCTTGGTGAACCCTTCCCCTACCCGACCCATACCTTCAAATTCCCCACATCGAAAATTCATTCCCCAAATCGAAGCAGCGTAATAAAATCTATATATAATTTTGCTAGTTATCCTATGTATTTCTTAAAAATAGGCTAAATGTAATTATACAGATATAGGTAAAACTTGAATATTGGAACTGGTTAAAACTGGAATATTTTGAAAGCGAACACACACACCATACTGTCTTTACACTTGATAACTTCTATACTACCACTAATCCAAATTGGTTGCAAATTTCGATTAATTCTATAAATCGCTTTATTGTAGGTTGGCGGCTTATACATAGCATGTTATTTGTAATTACCTAAACTTAAAACTGTTGTCCTCAATACAACTAAAATTATTATATAGAGATGTTTTTTAGTATTCTAGACCTCGTTATATCTACGGAATTAGGAGGTTATCAAATAAAATAAAAAATGTGTTTATTCATTATCAGTAAATATGCATTACAATGTATTAGATTAGGGAACCATTTATATTGGCTTTTTGCCCGCCAGTGTCACATAACCAAAATAATTAAATAAAATACAGATTATTAAATTTACTTAATACTGGAATCATAGGAAGGCGATCTTGTATGTTTGTCCATTGTAACAAAGCAACATTTTTAGACTGTTAATAAATGTCGACTGTACAGGTGACGCAGGGGAATCACACTGGAACCACATAGCTGCCTTGTCTGGCTCCGATTTCGATCTGGCTGCGCACGGGGAGCATCTGGACATAAGAGATCTGACACACGTCACACATCCAAGCAGGGATAAAACGCCGCCTGCGCATGTCTAGTGTAGTTCGGTGTAATGTTGTGTTAAGTTTGGTATGTTTGCAGCTTAGGGAGCGTTCAAGTATTACGTCACGCAATTTTTGGAGATTATTGATTATTATATATTTGATTATAGATATTAGTGATCCCCATGTAACGCGCCGTAACGTTTTTCTGTACCCAAGTATAGTAAAACGTTTCATGACCACCTAGTGACTTTTTATACCTAAAAGTTACCATGATGTGGTGTAAGGTACTGGAAAGTCGAAAATAATATTAACAATAACGCGTAATTCAATTCCGCCCCGCATCGTAACGTTTTACAAAAGGACCCCCCCCCCCCCAAATTCGTTACGTAATACTTGAACGCTCCCTTACTGTACTTTTTAAGCGGTTTCGGCAAGCTTACCACGTGAATTATTGACTTAACTAATTAAAGTGATAATGACGTCATCTAACGATAAATCTCAATTTATGGCGCTGATGTCGCAAACTGAATTTATGGGGTTCGAGAATATGTTGAAATCAGGTTTGGAATCACAATTGAAAATACGTGGTAAGCTTGCCGTTTTTTATAGATTCCGATAAAAAGTATTTAGTGTTGTGGCGCCAAAAATTCACGAGATCCATTATTTATATTTGACGGGTAAATCAATCTTTTTATTACGAAATGTGAGGCGAAGTTTTGAGGGGTTTGGCGCCACTGAATTATAGCTAAGTTCATCTTTTACTAACTTTATTGCTAAACTATTTTAAACGGTGTCGCTATATAATTGCATATTTTAACATATTATATATAATTGTACTATTATATGCTATAGTATCTTTTGCTAAGTGTTATTATATATTTATATTCACTAAAATTTGCTAAGACCATCAGTGCCGTATATACCTCACAAGCACAATGTTTAGTAATTTTTCATACTTTTATTTAATATAATTAAATCATCTAACCATTTCTTCTAAGACTAAATACTATATTTTAATACGTTATTATAAAAAGTTTACAAGAAAGTACATGAAATTAGTCAAAAAAATTCCTGTCTCGAAATATTTCGTGTACTTAAAATCATATCAAGTAGTTTTATGCGAGACTTTCATTTAAATGAATAAAGAAACGTAATTATAAGCTACGCATTTATACCATATGCGCAGTCCGTTAGCTCTCTTTGATTTTTATTTTGCCTTTTTGTAGGGAATTATTTAAAAATACATTATAAAGTATTGTTTAATAAAATCAGAAATGTAACGGAGGCTTAGCACATCAATTTGCCAAAAAATTTTTCCTAAGCTTAGCGATGGTAAGTATAAATGAATCTCACTTGATTTTAAATATAATTTAAAAAAGATATCAAATTACTATTGCTTAAAGCTTTTTATATATTACTTATTAATGTTATTCTGGGCACAAAACAAAGTTTTGTTATAACTCATTTAGTCGAAGATCTAGCCGTTGTGAAACTTCCATGTGTAATTTTGATGTAAATATTATTATATTATAGAACTTTTAATATTTGTGTTTATATACAAAATGTTATTTCACTCGAAAAAAAAACACCATTATAATTATATTTACAAGAGTTAACAATAAATCAATACAGATAATTATGTAAAGATTTTTTAATACAATAATTTAACCCAATAAAAGTGCGGTTTTACTTTGGTTTCATATGCTCCATGCGTGAAAGAGCCCATATAGGCTTAAGGCATACATTAACTTTAAAATTGTTTAGCATTATCCCCTTTATTCATGAAATTCTTTGACCGCTGTTTAGACTGAAAATCGTTTACATAAAATTAGTTTTTATGACAAAGTTTAAAATGCCTGTATAAAATAACTGCGTCAAAGGGCTTTAAGTTCATTTCGGATGATGTATGTATGTACGCCCACGGATCGCTGCTCAAGTTTTCTATACAAGTTTCTTGTTCCTATTCGTTTACGTGTAAAAGTTATTAAAACAGCGTAAGAAGACTCATTATTTTATAACAATAAGGGGTGTAATGTGGTGCTTCACCAATTTCTTTATGTAATAAACATTAGTCTTAAATATCTCGAAATCATACTCAAAGTATAAATGTTATAAAATCACAACTAGATGGTAAATGAAAATGAAATGATGCACTTACTGACAATAATATTTGGCCATCCATAACTTTGATTTCCGTTTTACTATTTGCGATTGATGATTTGGCTGTGTTTAAATTTTAAATGCTAGGAAACAAAAAGTTGTTAGTTACCTAACTTATTTTATTTAATATTAAACGATGCAGTCAGTGGGGTTACAAGAGTTATTGAATTGTGGATCCCACGATTAATATCTCAAAACCTATTCTCCTAAAATTAGGATATACCAACGCGATGTATTTCGTTTATTGTAAAGACGCCATGTCTGTAAGATAGGTTAGTGATGCCAGTAGTGAGTCGCTTTTGATGTTTACCATTTTTGGAGTTTAATGTACGCTTTATATTTACATGTTTAATATATGGAAAGTTGTGATAAATAGTGTTTTATTTCCACTCCTTGTGATGACTCCTCGTTTAAGTATTACATCACGCAATTTTTGGAGATTATTGACCCCCCGCCCATGTAACGCGACGTAACGTTTTTCTGTATCGTTTACTATACGTTAAACGTTTCGTGACCACCTAGTGACCACCTTTATACCTAAAAGTTACCATGATGTGGTGTAAAGTACTGGAAAGTCGAAAATAATATTAACAATAACGCGTAATTCAATCCCCGCCCGGCATCGTAAAGTTTTGCAAAACGACCCCTCCCCCAAAATTCGTTACGTAATACTTGAACGCTCCCTTACTCAGGGGAGACTTCTGGCTCAGTCTCATGGTATGAAACCCCATTTTTAGCGCTACGTTCAATCTTCCGAGACTCCTGTCTAAAATCTTAAAATAATGGCGGAAGGGATTTTTGTATATCGACGACATTATGTATTATTGATTAATCATGTAACATGCTTGAAACTCGAGGCATGCTTGGTTACACAACCCTATTTATATAGGTTCGTTCCTTAAGATTTAAAGAAAAGGGCCTGAAAAACTAATTATATCCATAAATCCTTAAAACAGACTGAGTTTATAATATATAGTCCATTGAAATGTTCCATTTGCTGAACATTTGTTAGAGGACGCAATTTTATTTCTGGAACATGTAGGGGCAAGCTTAAACCCAAGTTTGTGGGGTTGGCGCCCTTGTCCTCCGGCCGCCATCTTGGAAAAAGGGCACACGTTTTTGGCATATCTCCTAAACTATCCATCGTACAAAAAATTTGCGAGGACATATTTTGAAGCAAATCGCCTACCTGACTTTTTATCATAAACCCAAAATTCAAAAGTTATACCTAAGTGAAAAAATGTCCTGTTTTGCTTAAGAACTTTTTTTCTTTTGATCATATCAAAAAATTATATCAGAAGATTTTGTAGGGGATTTCTTTCTGAAGATTTTCCTCTATAGTTTTTTTTTAAATTCCGTTAATTGGGTACGCTGTTACAGAGCTCCAAAGTTGACCGGATCGTCAATGCTCATTACAAGCCGGTCAAAACAACATTTTTACTTTACTTTTATGATATTTCATTTATTTTAAACAGATTTTAGAAAAAATTTGTTCAATTCTAACAATTGCACGCCTCGCAGTGCTCTACTCTCGTCATGTCAAAAAACCCAGTTTTTCGAAACTTGAATGACTTTTTTCTCAAAACACTTACAGGATAATATGAGTGCACTAAAATCGAGTTAAATAATCTATCAAGCACATATGGTATTTTTTATGAACATTTATTTTGTTTAACATAGTAAATAATAACATTAAAATCAATCATTCTTGGACGTCCGTCAGTCTGTGTTTTTCGATCCATGTAAAATTGGTCGAAAAATTTATCATACCAGAATACTTTTTTTCTTATTATATAAAGATATACCCTGGGCTGATTCCTAGTTAATTTTAGCGTTCTAAGTACTGTCGTTTAATTATAATTTGTAAAAAACTAAAATACGACTGTTCCTCACCTTAGAGTTATGGCGCCACTAAATATGTATGTTT